ATTAAATAGGAGATTCCAATAATGACAGAATATACAGGGTGATGAATTTGAAAAACCAAAGTGACTAATAATTTAAGAGAAACGGCAAATCTGACAACATTGCAAATATTAAATCTGGAATCACCGTATCCCAAAATAGGTGTACCCCAAAGTTTGTACAATTAGGACCAGCAATTTACGAGATAATTGGCCAGACTTTTGGGCCACTCTGTATATTGCACTTTGATATATTTTGAAATTATTTTGAACATAGTTAATAATATTTTTTTCTACTCCCACATGTGTATTAGCTATTCTACGCACAGATTACAAAATAAAAAGGCATACCATTGCTTTCAACTAAACGAATATATTTCATATCCATTCTACCTAGTAAGAACACTGCAAAAAAATTAAATCCACCAATCACAGTTCATATTTTAGTCACCCGGCTACTATTATTTTTTTAAATTTTAAATATGTGACAATTCTGTCGAACTAATTGTTAGTATATTTTTTAGTTATTGAGATTAAATATACATTAAAATGGGTTATCCTTGTGTAGAATCGATAAATAATAGCATTTCTATTATTATTTCATCTATATTTACAAATAAACCATAAATTTTAATAAAATTATATAAAAGTAATTCGGGTTCAAGTCTATGATCGGAGACTAATTAAATTAAATCTTATTTTAAGTTTATTTTATTATATGAATTAGTAAAAGTCATAAATTATTTTTAAATTAGTTATGTTATCTCAATAACTTAAAATAATTTTTAGATTTTCGTTAGTGGGTTGTAGAAAAAATATACTATACAACTCGAGTGGATTGTCTGCACTCAGGCGATTGAGCACTCCGCCTTCGGCGTCGTGTACAAACTATTATGTCTTCAATATTTAATTTTGTGTCATTTTGCAATTTCTCCGAAGACTTCCCATAATTTTTTAGTGCGTGATGTTTGCATTCAATTTTCTCAATTTCCATTCCATAAGGAACTATCATCATTATGTTGGCCTATAAGCCGAAGTCTCCATCGACAACTAATTTCCATTATTTTAATCTGTGCTTATCATCGATTTGCGTAAATACTTCTGTTTTGCTATCTGTCTCCTTAGAGATAGATGCTTACTCTCAATTTTTGAAAAATATGTGCTGTTTTATTGTGGGCTCTATCGCGCGCACACACATACACACACGCACCCACACACACGCACCCACACACACGCACCCACACACACACACGCACCCACACACACGCACCCACACACACACACACGCACCCACACACACACACACGCACCCACACACACGCACCCACACACACGCACCCACACACACGCACCCACACACACGCACCCACACACACACGCACCCACACACACGCACCCACACACACGCACCCACACACACGCACCCACACACACGCACCCACACACACACACACACACACACACACACACACACACATATTAATATTTATTTCGTACAAAATTTTTGAACGTTAGTTGTCCAGTGATTTCATCCTTAAAATTAAAAAAAAATGTCATTCCTATTTTGTTACAAAATATTAAAATGTGTTTAAGGAATGTGCTAGATAGGTACTTACCACCCAAATTTAGTACACAAAAAAACTGCAAAGGAAATGTCAAATTAACGCAAAAATAATATAAATATACTGGAAATATAATAATCATACTCAGATCAAAGTTTCGAACACAAATATAAAATTCATATATCTAAAACTATTTCAACCATTATTTGAGTGGCTCAGTGCCACAGTTGCCTAACCAACAAAGTTTCAAAAAACTTTTTTTCGTATATTATTATTTTAAAATCATTTCTCTGCATGCCAAAGTTGCCTATCCCTTAAAATTATTCGCTGAGCCACGATCTAGACCTACAGATTAGCCAGTTACTTCTATAGAGGCAGGTAACGTGATTTGATCTCTATTGTCACTTTTAATAAATTGTTGGTTGGGCAACTCTGGCACTGAACAACTCATTTGGTAATAGGGGTAAATATATTTACAAGATTATGTGAGGTCACTGTCACAGATTATTACAATAAGTAACATTGATATACCGACAAAGTATTTATTCCAATAGCAAAGTACCTGCGATCCTAATTAGCCAGCTAAATATTCAATTCCGATTAAACGAGAAAATACTTCTTGCTACTTAATTGGATTACTAGATAACTACCGATATGCGGCGTTAACAATTATTTTCCATCAGACCAACTTAATTGAGAACATAAAATAAAAGTATGATTGCTTATATTATTTTGCTGAACACTCTTGCGATATAATTGCGATTGTAGCTACATCTACGCAGGAAGAGATGAACTAAAATTCAAATTTGTCATGTTATGAAAAACCGGAAGTGCTGTGGCATCCTTAAATTTTTCTGAAAAACATCTCGTCCGGTTAATTTTGCATATTGCATATTTTGCCATTTTAAATTGTCGATTTATTTTTTGGATGTTCAAGATTTGAAACTTCTTTTTAACTCCTTTGAGTTTGGTTGCTTTAAATTGTGCACCATCAGTCCAGTTCTTAACGAGAAACTACAAAAAACAAAAATATTTTAAAAATGCGCATTTATGTGGGCTGTCATCCAATAAATCACTTTAGTATAAAAAAAGATTTCGCAGTCAATGTCACAGCATTAATTTATCAATTCAAGTCTTGAAAAGATCTGTAAAATCGTTTAATCCGAATGATTAAAGGAAAACCGTGTAATACAAATAATTTTTTTCTATATTTAGCGCGTTCAAATACTCCGCTAGTACGAGTAAAAAAAAACAAACATGTCCCGCTTGATATGTATATCGAAAAAATAAAAATGGTTTGTTCTCATATTTCTGTAACGTAATTTTCGAAATCTTCGTTAATTTATAATACAAATTTAAATTGGGTGTGTGTTTGTAGCATTAACCTTGATGAAATAATCAAATTAATGGTATTATATCATCTCCGAATCGGCAAAACTAATTTTCAATGGCAAATGTTTTTTGTAAATTTTGCGACGAAGACAATGGGATTTAGGAGAAACAATGAAACATATTTTTTAATGCTTGTTTTTAATTAAATTCTTTTAACATTGACCCGCTGAATAAAATTGTTATGAGATGTTTTTTGAAATTTTGTAATTGTATCTCTAATACTTTATTATAATTTATTACCAAAATATAATAATTATTATACTTCAGGTAAATTAAAACTAAGAATAACACAGATGTATTTTTTTTAATTGGTAACAAAAACAAAACACACAAGGCAAATATATATTGCTTAGCATTCTATATTATACTCTTCACGGTTTAACAGACCCCCTTAACCCTTTCGCTCCTGTTGGGAAATATATGTCCCAATAAATGTTAAAAAAAATGGAAAACCCTATTAAAAATGCATACAGCTGGGATTAGAGTTTTATAGACAAGCATTGATATTTAAACTTGTGGCGCCGCTGCAACTTCATTTAGTTTGTACTTTTTATTGACTAGGAGGTTTTTAAATAACGCGCGAATTGAAAAAGCTTTGTTGTATTAATCGAATATTACGTGGATTCTTATATTGTCAGTTTTTGGGATGCATGTGTCCCAGTTTGTATTTTTAGCCTGTCATATGTCCCAATAGGCTGGACGGCCCCAGATAATGTCTAATATTGGTGACCACTTACGGATAGAATATGAAAAGGAAAGAATATGTTACAAAAAAAGTTAGTGTATCAAAATATCATGTACAATGTATAATTTTTCACTTCAATCCATGCCACACTGTAACTCACTGACGGGACATATCTGTCCCAGCTGAAAACACCACTGGGACATATATATACCCCACTTTCATTTTTTGTATTGGTACAAAAATAAATAAAATTCGTTGATTTTGTACTCTTTGTGGTGTTTTCTTTCATTATATCACGAAAAACCAAAATATTGCAAAAAAAGAATTAGATTTTTTTCGAAAACAATAGTCTTCATCCCGTTATAAAGCTTGACTTTTCCTGGTAATAGTAGTTTAAGTTATAAGCCCGTTACCTAGCTCTTTACATGCGAACACGATCGTTCATGTGCGAACGATAGCGAGCACGTTATATAACCGTGCGAGCATGTAGAGATCAGGTAACGGACGTGTATCTTACAATGTTTTATGATATACTGCAATTTACTACGTTTTTATCATTTGACACTATCATTACAAGTTTCCGAATGTGATTTATAATGACAGTTCAGTTACAACTGTCAGTACTGTCAACTGTTTTTAAAATTTTTACCGGCTAGCCCATTATGAATCCCTTAACAACCATAATCAGATGTTGGTTACAACGGTATTGCAGTATATCATAAAAATTTCAACAGTTATGACTGAACTGTCAGTTGTATCTGAACTGTAATTATTTTAAGTCAAATTCGGAAACTTGCAATGATGGTGTCAAATGATAAAATTTTATTTGATTTTAGGTTGTAAAACGCAGTAAATTGCAGTATATCATAAAATGTTGTACGATACACGCCTGTTACCTGATCTCTACGTGCTCGCACGGTCACATAACGTGCTCACATGTAACGATCTAGGTAACGGGCTTATAACGTAAACTACTATTAAATTATAATAAATAATAGATATATTACAATAAAAGTATGTATTATCAGTGCAGTACATGTAGGTACATTTAATAATAAATATTCACTTAGTCATATTTTTTTGTAAAATTCTAAAGTTACTACTATCTAGTAGTCAAAAATTAAAAATGATATCAACTTGAAATTTTCAGGAAAAATCTGCCTCGCAGTTATTTTTAATTAACTACCAGTTTCGAAGTGTTACTTCATCATCAGGCACACCCTAACCTATGTAGCTGATCCCTAGTGGATATGTTACGGCTTCTCTCATATTTAATTATAAAATATTGATTGTAACTAGTTTATTTAATGCACAAACAAATCTCAAATGTGTCTAACGTTACAATACTAGACTAACGTTGGTAATAAATTGTATCTTCTTTTCAGCAACGTCACATTTCTGATTCACACGTCAACAACAGAAAATCGAGGGTGGTCCGCAAGGGTCAGCTCGTCAAGGAGAAATGGTCGGCAGTCCAAGTCGGAGACATCATTAGAATGGACAATAATCAATTCATAGCCGCCGACGTACTAATTTTAACATCTAGCGAGCCGAACGGGTTGTGTTACATTGAAACGTCAGAGTTAGATGGGTAAGTAAATTCGTTACCATTTATCCTTATAATATCGTAACTCATCAACTTATCGGTATTTGATGTCAAATACAAATAATATTAATGCAGCAACTTAACTTAAACGGCTATTCACTTACTGATTGAAATTTTCTTTGATTCCAGGGAGACCAACTTGAAAATTAGACAATGCCTGGTCGAGACGGCCGAAATGGCCCAGGACGACGCACTGCTCAGCGAATTCGACGGCGAAATCATCTGTGAGATGCCGAACAATCTCCTGAACAAGTTCGAGGGCGTGCTGATCTGGAAGGGTAAATCCCACTCGCTGGACAACGACAAGATCATGCTGAGAGGATGCCGGCTCAGGAACACGCAATGGTGCTATGGCGTCGTCGTCTTTGCCGGCAAAGATACGAAGTTGATGCAGAACAGCGGCAAGAGCAAGTTCAAGCGCACGAGCATTGATAGGCTCCTTAATTTTTTAATTATAGGAGTAAGTAATTTTATTTTCTTATTAAATAACATGTACAAAAATTATTTAAAATACACCTGTGCGTATCCTACTAACTGCACCAATTAAATAAAATAATTCGAAAATTATATTTTTCGGGAATCGTTTTAATAATTCATAGGGGGATTTTTGAGATTTGTTTCCGAATTTTCAAATTATTTCTACAACTTATTTCGGATTTCGATTTGCGATTTACGAGATATTAAATTCACAATTTGCACACTCAGGTAAACGGCGCTTAATGTACATTCAAAACTTAACTCACTCAGATGAAGATATGAGCTTAGTATGCATTAATGCATTTCTCATATTCACCGATGCTGTATAGAGGTATTTGAAGATTTGAGAACGAACCTCAAACAGCGCTTGGCCCGAATTAACACATCAAACTGCGGGCTAAGAATCTTGACAGTTAATGTCGCGATGGTCTATAGGTAGGGTATTTGTGTATAGAACAAATATGTCTGGGTGCGAATCCCAGCACTGACAGGCTTTTTTTTAAATCTCCAAGTATGTGTTTTCTCCTTTGGGGTTCGGCGATGATCTTAATAATTCGTAGGGGGATTTTTGAGATTTTTTTCCGATTTTTTAAATTATTTCTATAACGTTAGAACAGAATGAATTTTATATTCTGTGAGAAAAAAATACCCAGATTAATTTGTATTTCCCTATTTTCCCGGCTTTCATCCCTTTCTGGTATTCCGGCGGGGTTTGAACGTCTATTCTTAAAATGTTATGACTACATTTTGGTAGGTTTAGCTCTAAATAGTTTTAACTGCGCCAATAGACAAAATTATCTAAATCATACTATATTTTAAATAGTCAGCATATAAGACACATTGTAAAAATAAAATAGGGCTAATGATGATAATATTTTTGCTTTGTTGTTTTTTTTTTTAAATTAATCACGATTCTTTATGTTCTATTACAGATAGTATTTTTTTTATTGTCCATGTGCCTTTTCTGTATGGTGGCCTGCGGAATATGGGAGTCCCTCGTCGGTCAGTACTTCCAAACGTACCTCCCGTGGGACACGCTCGTGCCTACGGAGCCGATGGGTGGCGCCACTATCATAGCCCTGTTGGTGTTTTTCTCGTACGCGATCGTCCTCAACACCGTCGTGCCCATATCGCTGTACGTGTCCGTCGAGGTGATCAGATTCGTGCAGAGCTTCCTGATCAACTGGGACGAGCAGATGTACTACGATAAAACGGGCACTCATGCCAAAGCCAGAACTACCACACTTAACGAAGAATTAGGTCAGTAAAAAATTTATTTGGCTATAATGATACATACAAAGCAACAACATCAGAGCAATGAGACAATAACTTGAATCACAGTTCGAATAAATTTTACATTTTTCGCAGTTTCAAAGTAGAATATACATAAGGAAAGGTCTTCTAATTAACTCCCTGTGTTCATGTGATATTTAACCAAATTTTTCTATCTCGTTTTCAAAATTACTCTCCTATGCAAAAAGTTTCACTTGTATAGAAAATCCAGTGATGATTTAAAAGACCTGTTTATCCTTAAAAGTACATTTTCTCAACTTTCTATTTTTATAAAGACGTAAGCAATGTTTTCTCCTCTTGCAGAACAAGAAAATAACTTTTTAACAAAATATAATAACTAACTGTAAAAACTGTATAAATTACTTAGTTGCAACGCCCGAGCGAGATGCATTGTGATAATAGAGAGATAAAAGATGGTACTACTGTGTCCTATGTCTTATGTGATTCACATTATATTTGTCATTAACTTTTATTGTATTTTCACAGTTTTAAATTCTCGGTATGTTTCGAATGTTTATTAAAATGTAGACATGTATTTAAACAGCAACCTTTCCTTATTAGTGGAAAATTATACGTCTGTTTGTCTGATTTTATTCTTTTTGATATTCCAGGCCAAATAGAATACATATTTTCGGACAAAACCGGTACACTTACTCAAAACATAATGACGTTTAACAAATGTTCGATAGCGGCTCAATCGTACGGCGACGTCATCGATCAGAGGACGGGCGACGTCATGGAAATAACGGACGACACTGAACCTTTAGATTTCTCGTTCAATCCCAACTATGAGCCAGAGTTTCGGTTTTACGACAGGCACCTTTTGGACGCCGTCCGGCGAAGGGACGCTGACGTTTACAGTTTTTTCCGGTTGCTGGCGCTGTGCCATACCGTGATGTCAGATCAGAGTGACGGTAAACTCGAATATCAGGTAAAGGTTATACGTTTATAAATACCAAATTCTTAAACGATTATTATTTGCATTATCGATAGATTTCGGGAAAATGTAGGGAAATTTTTTTAGTTTGATTGATTTTAATGTATCTTATTTAAGGAAGGTTGATTTTATTTTAGTTTTGTACTTTTCATTAAGCGTAAAAAATTAATTTAAATTTGGACTTGAATTTAATTGTGAAGCACTGGACAGTAGATTATTTGATAAAGGCTATAGCGGATTTAAGAATTTAAAAAATAATTTATTATTTAAAAATGAAAATTTAAATAACCCCAAGTGTAACAATCAACTAATCTAAAGGTCCACTGCCTGTCGCTAAATATAATAACTGCCGTTGTTACCAAATGAAACAGCCAACTATTCTTAAGATTCACTGCTGTCATCGAATGTGACAACCAGCTAGTTTGAAGACCCATTTGTACAAACTGATAGGTCTTTATTAACTACTGTTGTCCAATATACTTTTTGGAGATTTGGAGACAGGCACCAAAAAAAAAAGTAAAAAAAAATTATTCTTTAATAGCATAGTCGAGCGTCTTTGGCAACTGGGTAAATTTTCTATTCCTTAGGGGTATAAACGCCGAGGCTTCACAAATGCTCGGAATATTTCATAACAAGTTTTAAAAAAGGAAAGAAGATAATAATAAGTGAATAAACAGTAACATATGTATATTTAAAATATTTACAAAATGACTAATGCTCTCAAATATAAATAATCAATTTATAATACATATAGTGAATAAAGCACTATTTGATAGTCCAAACTGTTTGATAAGGATTAAAATTTATAACACAATTTATGACTTGACTGGTAAAGAACTTCCTATTGAATTATATGATTTAGACTTATTAACAAATAATGTCATTGAATAAATAAACTTTTGATAAATATAAGATATATAAATTTGGGACGAAAATGGAAAAATTGGTATTTATATGGAAATCAGTTAATCGTGTCAAAACAAAACCAAACAACACTTTTAAAAGCAACATGTTAAGATAATTAAAGACCTTTAGCACACAAATCGCTGCACAAAACTTTACACATTAAGGTGTTTTGGGACCTATAGAGACCTGAATCAAGAGTTTCAGGTCGTAGTCCTTACTTGAGTTTCTTCTGTCAACTATCGACAGTCTATTTACACCAAAATTTACGTGAAAGGTCGGTAAAGTATCACCTTTAATAATTCTTTAGTTCAATGTAAGCCATTTACTGGAGTAATAATCTTATTGTTTGGTTTATTTCAATACGTGTGTTTTCTATTTGAATATTTAGTTAAAACATTTAATACTTTTTAGAATTTTTGTATAATTCTTTATATTTTACTAATAATAATGCAAACTATTACATAAACATGATATTCAATTATCAACTAAGTATTGATGCTATTATCATCAAAATATTTTCACAAATGAATCTACTATGGTAAAATGAAAATGCGAAGTCCGGCAATCAAAAATCAAAAAAATCTAAAGTCAATCCAAAAATTAAAATTAAAGGACCCCGCAGGTTTCTTATGGAAATTGGGTTTCGGTGGATTTTTTTAAATTTTTGATATGATGTAGTTCATGTCATTCTCAACAAATTTACCATTGCCCCAACCCCTAAAAATGAAAATTTGTCTGCTTGGGGGCGTTAAAATCACCCATTTTTAAAAATAGACCATTTATTTTGAAAGCCTGGAAAAATATATTTGCAAGTTTTATTTTAGGTTATGCTATATAGTATTGTACTTTTTATTTAAAAAAATCTAATTGCCCCCCAGTACCCCCCAACCTACCCCTACCCTAGTTTTCAAAATATTATCTTGGGTACTTTTAAATGCATTGCCAAATGTTTTAATAAGTTTAAATTAAGTTAACCGCGCTTTTTAAAATTATCCCCCCAACTGGGGGGGGGGGAGACTATAACAAAAAATATCGGTGGATTTGGCTGAATTTTTAGTATGATGTAGTCTATGTTGTTTTGAATAGAAATTAATTGGGTCACAAACTCCAAAAATGAACAGTTTTGCTGCTAGGAGGCTCTAAAATCACCGTTGCCTCAAAATAGACCACCTATTTTGAAAGCCTGGGAAAATGTATTTACATATTTTATTTTAAGTTATGCTATATACTATTGTGCTTTTTATTTTAAAAATATCTAACTGCTCCCCACTACCCCCCGACCTCCCCTTGCCCCAATTTTCAAAATATTCTTCTGGGTACTTTTAAATAATAAATTGGTTGACAAACTCTAAAAATAAACAGTTTATGTATTTCTTATTAAACTAATTCTATACTCCCTCATATTCCTCCCTTCGCCTGTTTAAAAAAAGCAAAAAATGGATATAAGCTGTATAAGCTTAATTAGAAAAATCTATATTTTAATTATCATCCAATCGTTGAGGGAGGGACACAACAAAAAATAATTAGATATTCTGCTACAGAACATAACAGCCCCACTTTTCTTTTAAATATCTCATTCAATTGCAATTGTATTTTCAGGGTAAAATGATCCAAAATTAGGGGTTCTCTGGTAAACATTGAGAACGTACGTTAACCAAATATTTCAATTAAATCAAATGCAACTATCAACAATCTTTTTTAGTATGATAGTAGTAGGCGGATATGGACAATATTTTTGACATTAATTCTCAAACTTATACATTGGCTTTCTGACATTAGTAATAATTGTTGTGCTTTGTTGTCCTTTTTTGTGTTGTATTGTTGTACGATATATTGTGTTTTTGTATATTGTTTTGTATATTTGTTTACTGGTTGATATTATTATAATGGCTTACCAAAATCGAGAAGCTTGCTACTTATGCGAAAGACTTTTTCGCCCACGTATAGCAGTTATTCTTCGAAATGCTGAAAACAGACCTCCTCTTCATGTGGATAACAGACGCCTTTGCATTAATTGCAGTCGATCTATTAATCAAGAATTGATAGACGTAGAAAATAATCCGTTCTGTCTAAGACTCAACGTTTTAAGTCAAACAAATAATTCTACTTGCTTTGTTTGTGATGACATTCATAGACTTTCTGTTGAATGTAGAGTTGATGCATTTATTAGAACTAATATTTACATTTCTGAAGATGTAAAATCATGTCAGGCACATTTGGACGATAAATCCTGTATCCTAAAGATTCTTCTTCCTGGTTTGCGTTACGTAAATAGACCTTGTGTTCTTAAAGGTACTCAAATACAAATTTTTTTACAGCAAATGCGAAAAACTGTAAACACGTTTTCTGAAAACATGTATAGTAATGAAGACTGTTGCAGTGATGAAGAGTTCCAAAAAACTTTTTCTGTGACAAAAGAACAATTTAGGGAATTGTATACATTTTGTGATAAAAAAATCCACTTTTTTTTTTTTTCCTTATGATTGTAACAGCACCTAAGATCCTTTGAGAATTGGGGTAGAGGGAGATCGGGGGGTAGTGCGGAGCGGTTAGATATTTTTAAAATAAAAAGCACAATACTATATAGCATAACCTAAAATAAAATATGTAAATACATTTTCCCAGGCTTTCAAAATAGGTGGTCTATTTTGAGGCAACGGTAATTTTAGAGCCTCCTAGCAGCAAAACTGTTCATTTTTGGAGTTTGTGACCCATTTAATTTCTATTCAAAACAACACTACATCATACTAAAAATTCAGCCAAATCCACCGATATTTTTTGTTATAGCCTCCCCCCTTCCAGTTGGGGGGATAATTTTAAAAAGCGCGGTTACCTTAATTTAAACTTATTAAAACATTTGGCAATGCATTTAAAAGTACCCAAGATAATATTTTGAAAACTGGGGTAGGGGGAGGTTGGGGGGTAGTGGGGGGCGGTTAGATTTTTTTAAAATAAAAAGTACAATACGATATAGCATAACCTAAAATAAAACTTGCAAATATATTTTTCCAGGCTTTCAAAATAAATGGTCTATTTTTAAAAATGGGTGATTTTAACGCCCCCAAGCAGACAAATTGTTCATTTATAGGGGTTGGCATAATGGTAACATTTGTTGAGAATGACATGAACTACATATCAAAAATTTAAAAAAATCCACCGAAACCCAATTTCCATAAGAAACCTGCGGGGTCCTTTATCCCGGAAAAACTATTTTAATAATATTCGGTCTGAATTAATTTTCGTTAAATTATTCGACCACTATAGAAAAAAAAAATATTTCGACAATCAAAATGTTTAAACTATAAAAGCAAAAATCACAATTATATTTATGCTAGGTAAACTATTTCAAACGTTTTCGAATTGAATTCATGTTTACTAAATAATTTAACTACGGTAAAACAATATTTATTTCGAATACTTACGATCGCGAGAAATAAAAAATTCAAAATTCGATGTTAAATCAAATACAACAATAAATCTCGAAGAAATGGAAATAAAAAAACGCAAAACGAGTTTTTTATAAATTGACGCTTCCGCTCAAAGAAAGTGAAAACTAACAATTATCTAATTTTTCAGCTGAAGCAAATCAATTGAAAATTTGCTTATACGTTAACGTGGAAAAACGTACACTAACTTTAGTAATAACGTTTTTTTTTTGCAAAAAAAAATACCTTCTACTTCATTGAACCGCTATATTATTCTACTTACAACGATATTCCATGAAAATCTCCAATATATTCCAATATGTTCTTTGAGCCGTCACTTTAATTATGTTTACCGTTAAAGCCGCCCTAACTGCGATCCGCTTCCGCTGGCCGATCGAGAATCGACTGGAAAGTTGTTTTTCACGCGGGCCGACGCCTACAGGCCGACGCGTAGTGGAAGGGTTTCGAGAACGACTAGAGCATCTCGAAGTCTGCGAAACAGGACTGGAGTTGTCTAGAACCTAATATATTTGTATATAAATGAATTATTTTGCCGATTGAGTTTACTTATAGAGATAGGTACATGTAAAGATAAATTATTAAAGTAAATATAAATCAGTGTAGTTTTGAGTACAAATAAATTAGTTGATGTATTTAGTGTAAATAAATTAGAGTAATTAAACTGTTTTAAAATAAACAAACGTAACAATTACCAGGATACGGTAAAGTCTCGGAAATATCAGAGGCGGCTCGTGGCTTAGTCTATGAGGAAGCTATGGAGGCTACTTTTGAAAGGCACACCCTATATAATTAATACAAATATATATTTTTATTAGAATACAAAAAGCAGGAATATTACATAGAAATATATAAAGTAGGCTATGAGCCGCGCCTGGGAAATACCCCCAAATCGAGAATGGCAGGTCCGCTTTAGCCATTTCATGTACTTATTTTACATTCATGAGAAATTATAAGTTCAAACAAACTTACCTTAAGTGATGTTCGATCTTAATTATATGAAGGATTCGTCGAAGTAAATAAAGCAAGGTAGTATCCGGCTTACATGCTTATGGCTACAACTTTTAAAGTACACAAACAGAAAAACATTGAATCACCTCTCCGCCTGCCTCGTTCTGTCGCCAGCCGATTCAGTATTTTTTAAAGCAAGATAAAATTAGTGCAACGTTTGGGAAATAATTAAAATTTCTATTTTAGGATAGGGTTGGGATTTTATTTACTTCGACGAAGCCTTCATATAATAATGAAGATTGGAACATCACTTAAGGCAAGTTAGTTTGATCTTATATTCGGCTTCTTCTTCATAAATAAAGCAATGTAGATGTTCAAAGATCATGTTGCACTATTTTTTATTTATAAAAGAAATTTTTGTGTATGTGAAAAAACTTTTTAAGTTTTAGTAGCACATTAAAGAAACAAAATAATTAAAAAAAAAAAGAAAACTACATAATTTAAAAGTGAAAAATCCCAGAACAACATGGGACTTACATAATATATTTATATATAGAGACAACAAAATCAAAGATATGAATATGGTTAACTATACGATACATATTCGTAACGAAACATATTATTACTTCGCAAATTAGTAATAATAGGCCGATTCCTAGTCATGTATTCACTTAATCTGTATTAAATTTTGTATAAAAAATAAATAATTATCAATGACGGGTCTATTATAAAATCTGGCAAAGGTTTTGGAGTTCTTTGACCAACCCGCTGGCAGTCGTATAATATCGAAGCTTATTCCGGCGCAAGTTGCTAAAGAAGTTGAAGCGTGCCTAAAATAATCTTTATCTATTTTTTACTTTTTTAATTTTTTCTAGTGTAGTAATAAGATATATAAGCCTTAAGTTCTAAAAATCGTAATTACTGCTGCCTTTTGGTATAGGAACAATAACACTGGTTTCAAGAAATGAAGGAAAATTTTATTCAACAAAACTTTAGTTATTAGACTACCTAAGACCGGTATTGCTTATTCAGAAAGGTTTAGGACAGCTCTTAGAGACAAGAAATAATCCAACGTTCCTAAAATAAAATATATTGTTTATTATTATTATTAAATCTAAAAATATGTCGTTTATTTTAGGCACAATCACCCGACGAAGCAGCCCTCGTTTCGGCGGCCAGAAACTTCGGCTTTGTATTCAAAGAGCGCTCGCCCAACAGCATCACCATCGAGGTAATGGGCGTCAAGGAGGTATACGAGGTGCTGTGCATCCTCGACTTCAACAACGTCAGGAAACGAATGTCGGTGATACTGAGACGAGACGGGAAACTGAAACTTTACTGCAAAGGCGCTGACAGCGTCATCTACGAGCGACTCAAAAACACCCAAGACGACGTTAAGCATAAGACTCAAGAACATCTGAATGTGAGTGAAAATTATTTAATTTTAGAAATGTGAAGATATAATCACCAATTCGTCTTTTACTTAGGGAGAATTGGGGATTATATCTTCACAATTCCAAAATTGAATTTCTTTTTTCTTTCTTTATTACCTTATTTATTTCCTTTCTTGTCTTCTGGATAAAAACGTTTAATTTGACGCATTTAAAATTGTTAATTTCGACTTTTGACTCGCAGAAATTCGCCGGTGAAGGTCTAAGAACGCTCGTGCTGGCCTGCTGCGATTTGGACGAGGTATACTTCAACAACTGGAAGCAGAGGCATCAAGAGGCAGCCGTTTCGATGGAAGACAGAGACGAAAAACTCGACGCGCTCTACGAGGAGATAGAGAAAGACTTAGAACTGATCGGAGTGACGGCTATTGAGGATAAGCTGCAAGACGGCGTACCTCAAACGATAGCCAATCTTATTTTAGCCAATATCAAAATTTGGGTGCTGACGGGTGATAAACAGGGTGAGTAACTTAGATTATTTAAGACAAGAGTTTAATAGCAATAAGCTTAAAGGCTACAAAATTAACTAAGAATCTGCAGAGATTATTTTTTGAGGATTTATTTAAACAAAACGATAAATCAATACATTGTAATAAATTGTAATAAAAAATACACGTGGCACTCGGGGACTGCCGCGGTAAAGCTATTGAGCATTTTTTATCAACTTATGCAATTATAATTATTTATTTATTTATTTTATTTATGCAGTATTTTTTTTTTCTTTGATATTAATTCAAGTTACACTTTTTGAGCGTGGTGACCGATAAGAAAACAAATTTTTTTCTTTATTGAATAAATGAGAAGTTAATATTGTTTAAAATATTTTTATTACCTCACAATACATGTAGGTTATTTAGGAATTTTTATCATTAAAACTATAGGTTTATGGTAACTGAAATAAGAAACATAAGTTTAAGACTTGATATCCTCTAAATATCTGGAAAATATCGCCTCAGTGGTGGTCCCATATTTTGTTGTGGATTTTCAAATTCAATTTTTCCGAAATTGTGTCTAAAAGAGATAGAATCAGTTATGAGCAGTTAGCAGCTAGTCTACACGCATACATCTAGTCGCACGCACACAAACACCGTGCCGAAGTCTGCCGAACTGAAACGACGTTAGACGATGCACGGCTTTCAACGCCGCACCTCTGTGCCGGTCGGAGGTGGGTGTGTTAGGTTTATTTTCGTTACGGAATTTCTTTTTCGATTTTTCAAATTTTTCGTGTTTTTAATTTTTTCGATTTTTCAGTTGTTCGATTTGTAGGGTTTTTGATTTTTTGATTTTTCGGTTTTTCGATTTTTTTGGTTTTTTGATTTTTCGATTTTTCGGTTTTTTCGGTTTTTCGATTTTTAGATTTTCTTTTATTGAATAAATAAGAAGTTGATATTGTTTAACGCCGCACCGCTGTGCCGGTCGGAGTGGGGGGTGTTAGGTTTTTTTCGTTACGGTTTCGTTTTTTTTTTTTTTTTTTTTTTTTTTTTTTTCTTGATTCGGTCGCCGCGCTCAAAGCCCGCGATCAAAGCTATGCAATAGCATAAAAACTAAATTCTATTCATGCATACAAGTTCTTGTTTGTTTTTCCTGTGCCAATGAACGTTTTTTTATATTGATTTTAGAGACTGCCATCAATATCGGTTACTCGTGCCAACTGCTCACGGACGAACTCGTTGACCTCTTCATCGTGGATGCCTCCAGCTACGACGAGGTCCAGCAGCAACTACTCAAGTTCCGCGACAACATAAAGATCGTGCACACGTTTCAACCGCAACCTCGCAGCCCCAAGGATGTGAATCAAACGTCAAACGGTCGTCTGGAGACGGGGGAGAGTTCGAAAAGTGGTCATGTGACCACCCCTCACGTTATCGCCCATCCGCCGGCTGTCAGCGTCGTCACTTTCAGGTGGGACGATGATGACGTTTGTGATTCTGATCTGAGTGAGAGTTCGAGAGCAAGGTAGATTTGATGACGGGATACGGCAGGTTTTTTTTCTCTTTCTTTCTCTCTATTCTATCTACTTTTTTTAATTTTCAGTTATCACTTTTCAAAAAAAAAAAATTATTTTAAGAATACCGTGCTAAATTTTATCGTCACCCAAAAGTTACTAACAAAATGGTTGTGCATCATTTAGAATAGACGTGGTTGCCTTTCAAAAAGTTGGTAAATCGATGGTTATCTTTGGATATCTAGTGTAACGTTTATTTATTTTAATTTATATTCACTAAAACACTAGTTTAATTATTAACTAAATTTATTTGTACTCAAAACTACACTATTTACATCTCAAAACACTTATATACTAATTTATTTAACAAATCGATTTCTGTCATATTATCAAAGTTGGGCTATTTATATAAAAGATGTAGCGTTCCAGACCTGTCTAGAAAACTCTAGACGCTCTCGATTCGCCTAGTCCATGTATCGGCATTACTTCTGAAAATGTCTAGAAATGCGCTAGTTCAGTGTGATGTCATTTTGGTTCCACTGACATTTAATTCTAACCAAAATTTTAACAAAAACATCAATAAATTTGACATATACGTTTTTACTGTTTTTATTTTATTTCAAAATATTGTTTACAGGTCATAAAAAATAGTTTAAAGGTATGTAATTGGTAACTAAACGATTGTATATTTGATACATGCTATTTACTTACTTTAGGAATATATTTATAAAAGTGAAAAAAACGATATAATTTAGGTAAACAAAACGAACAAAAGGCACTCAAAAAATCTACTGTCACTTTAATTGTCAGTGGAGCCATAATTACATCATCATTGAACCAGCGCATTTCACATAAGAAGTAGAACGGCTGCCTCGACCGGCGATAACGAAAACATTGAGCAGGACCGTACTGGTCTAAAAAGGTTCACACGACACTAGTACAGATTGACAGGAATAATAGAAGCCGCCACATGCGCCAACTTGAGACACTATGGAGGTAGCGATTCACGCCGCCTTGCCAAATTTACACGTACACGTTTTTAAAACGAATGTCGAGAATAGCGAATCGCTCACATGTTCTAAAGTATATACGTTTTTTTAGAAAACGATAGCAGAGGCTAGGGCCCTAAGATTGGATTTTTTCTAGGCTGTTATATTTTTGTATATAAGTGGATTCTTTTACTGTTTAAGTTTGAATATAATGTTGGCAAGATGAATTGTTGAATAAAATAGAAGTGTGAAATATAAAAATTTCTTATAAGTATAAATAAATTAATTTAGTAGGTAGTGTAAATAAATTATAAATAAACTGTTTGAAATAAATAAACTATTTTTGAATTAAACAATCGTTACGTTATATTAAGGACTTCTATATACACAACCAAAAGAGAAGTATCAACTTAGAAATACAATCGCTAAGATAACTTCTTTTTTTTTTTTCAAATGATATTTAAAATTAGATCGACTTTTTGAAAGGTAAATCAATAACAAATTGTTTTAATCACACCTATTAGATAGAAACGTGTTTTGTGTTCACAATATCTACCTGCTCTCTAATATGCTCAGCTTAATATTAATATACATAGAAACCTCTTCTTAGATAGTACAGCTTCGAATCATTTCAGATTATCAGAAATGAACTAAAAAGAATACATTACTCTTTTTCGCCCATGTTTCACTGGTTTATTGCATTTTAAGTTTTACGAGTAAGTTCCGTTTAGAAATAAAAAATAAGTAAGTAGAAAGTGAGACACTTGAATACACTTTTATCGATTTTTCCCTAAATCTAGAAAAATTTGTACCGAAAGGCAACACCGCTTCTCCAGCGATTGACCTTAGAGACAGATAACGTGCAAGCGGAGCGCGAGGAATTTTATATGCACTCCCCGCTTCCACGTTATTTGTCTAAGGGATATATCGATCCCTGGAGAAGCGATGTTTCCCTAGATCTGGGGAAAAATCAATGAAATTGTACTTAAGTGTCTTACCTTCTACTGTAGAATTTTACTATATGAAAGCCTGTACCTCAATTTATTTTTCTATATAACTTACGCCAATCTTGAGTCGCTTATCGTATTATAGCACAAGTTTTTGAATCCTTTTATAGAAGAATGCCGCCTGATTTGACATCAACTGCAATACGGTCATTTTGATTTCATCATCGTCATTGTGGCGAAGATGATTCTTAAAATGCAGGAATGGGCGGTAGTCACTTGTTCTTAATGGATTAATATTACAATATATAGAATTGTCGGGCATTGTCATGCGACCTTCTTTAAAGGCTCTTAACACATTTTTTGTACCATTTCAACGCTCATAATGTTTTCTTCATGCACTTTACTAATCTGACATGAATTTCAGCTGCTATCACATCTTAAACACTAAAAAAAAAAATCAATGATCGTATTTCACAGTCAACTGGATTTTTAATCAGCGGAACCATTTTAAATACTCAAAAACAAACGTTCCAAGAGCTGTTGATAAACTGAAAATGGTACTTACTTAAATTAATAATAAAATTTGCCATATGCTACGAACTAAAGTAGCACACTATATTTTTTTTACTGCCAACATGTGCTGTGTAAAGCGACTGGCTTTAGAGTTTCGTTTGTTAATTCAATATAAAATACTGATTTTTTTGTATAATTATTATTTGTCACTTTATGTCGTCAATTAATGGTTATAAAAATTGCAGCACGGAATTGGGCATTCATGACGAAAATGACATCCATGAAGAAACTCCCGGCGGTTTCGCTATCGTCGTTAACGGCAACTCTTTGGTACACTGCCTCCATCCCCAGCTGGAGAGGCTGTTTTTGGAGGTCGTGATGCAGTGCAAATCGGTAATTTGCTGCAGGGTGACGCCCTTACAAAAAGCCTTGGTGGTCGAATTGGTTAAGAAAAATAAGCAGGCGGTTACGTTGGCTGTGGGAGATGGAGCTAATGACGTGTCTATGATTAAAGGTGAGCATTTCTTAGATTGTCATATTTTACTATATTGAGAGAATAATACACTAATATAGAAGCGCCTTTTCACGGTGGTCAAAATTCAAGTGACAGTTGAAGTTTTTGGCTGCTTTGGTTATTAAACTGAAAAAAATGATAAGATTCATAAGTTTATTTAATACACTAAAGACAAATATTTAAATATCTTTAAACTATGAAAAATCGGTACATGAATGATATAAAGTATTTTTAGGATAAGAAGCCAGTTACGTCACATGATAAAAAACCTGCGGCGTTGTCAGGTATTTTTTTTTTCATTTTCTTACATGCTGTACGGACTGCCAGCATCTATTATTGTTCTATTTGGTTATTTCTTGTGATGGGACTTTTCGTAAAAAGTAATTTTTGGACTAGTCCGACGGACATGTCCTGAAAAGTAGTCGACCTTGAGCATAGAACACACAAAGTTAAATCTCCATTCTGGATGTTTTTTCAGAAATATTTTGGGAACAATATTTGTATTTAGGTTTTTTTTAGGCAAATCATTTTTAAAATACTTCCAACCTTTGATCATTTTTTCATGAGTTTATTTTAATAAAATATGAAACGAAAATTCCAACACATCATTAACACATATTAAAGTCAGTAATCATTTGTCTGTCTTCTTTTTAAAACTGTATTTCCCTTTTATTTAAGAAATTCAAAAAAATTGGTTAATTTAATTTCGCTCATGCGCAATACACTTTTCCTCTTTCGAAAAGTGTGTATTGTCTAGTGAAGTTTTCAGACCAGTTCGTCGAACTTGTCCATGGACTTTTCTTGTTCTCTTGAAGCTGATTTTTTATGAAATGCTCACTAATCTTCTAGGGAACCTCACTATCGTCATCCTGATCCAAATTAATAATAAGTGGTGGCACATCCTCCCTATCAAATACCCCTTCCCTATCCCACCAATCCTGTATTATTTTTTCAGTCTGTTGAACTGTTCTCAGCCAAATATTAGGAGTTACTTTTTCTAAAGCTTTTTTCCATGTAGCTAATGCTTTTTCTGCTGAAGTACCATCATTTTCCACTTTATTGCTATTCGCTCCGTGCGTGACAGCAGCGCTAATTCATTTATATACTAATGGACTATTTTTTGCAAAACAATTTTTAATAGGATTCGTAATTAAAAAGTATATATGTTAGTTTTAATAAAAGTATATGGATTTGTAAAACAAGTAAAACAATAATTTATTATTATTATATATTTTTATCGCTTAAACTAAAAAAAAAACTAAGTATAATCAATAAAAATCAATAATAAAATATAGGCAGGCAACAGTATTTACGGGAAAATGTATGAGAATTTGCCTAAGTCTAACAAGTTGTCTTTGAAGAATTAACCTATTCTGTCAAAATTAAAAAAAAAACATTAAATAAGAGCGTGAAGTTAAAATGTATATATTCATTTTTGTTCGAAAGAAAACATAAAAAGAAGTTTGGTCGATTGCCAGAACTTCAATATCAGTTACCAGTCCCTGTAAAAACATTGAAACTTCAAGAAGGATCGTGTTATCTTTTCTATTTGGTAACAAAGAACACCTTCCGAGATCGATCCACTTATCATGATGTATGGGAAGCATTACTTAGTCTGAAAGGAGCACGTACTGGAGTCCAATGAACAGATGGAGAGCAGCCAGCTAAATTGGAGGATCATTAGAAACAATCTGGAAGTAATCTTCCAAGATTTCGAGGTCCAAATACTGGTCTGAAGCTATTCGTCTAGTGTCCAGGTTTCAGTGAAGACTGTCCCTTGTTACTTTCATGCAATTGTAAAATAGGATCCAGTTGCAGATACAATCATTCAGTTTTAGTTCCAGGAGGAACTATTTCTTAAGGAGGGGGCAATGTGACGCCAAAGCCGTCTGTGTTCCTTGTTTACTCCTTACCCGCTGTATAAAGTATAGCGCTGGCCATATAGAGACAAACGCACCGCTTCAAGAAACTACCGGAGAGATCCCTTTGCGGCGTATGAGTCATAGAGAGGCAGTTCTCGATCGTTGTGGAAAGCCGATAGTGTTCTAGTACAAAGCTGGCTTTATATAAATAGCGCGAGTTTATCGACGGACGGGAAGATTCAAATGAAGTGTTGGACAGTAAAGACAAATTGTAATAAATTAGAATTGTCAGTTATAATAGGGTCTAAGTATTATATAAATTAATTAGTATGTTATAAATAAATTGTAAATAGTGTTTTAAATAAATAAACCATAAATAATTTAAACAAATGTGACAATAATTAAATTGTATAGTGCTGGTTCATGGAAAAATAAAATGTTTACTAAATATAAAATTTATGGAGTTGCACAACACAAGTGTTCAATCACTTAGGTGCACAACCCTGTACTTTTTTATTATTATTAATATTATTATTATTGTAATATATTTTTAAATTGTGACACTTAAGAAGGTATAACCCTTGCACCCTTATTAAAGTTCTACTTATCAAAGCGTTAAGAATCACTTTACTAAGCTCAGAAATTTTTCAGCTTAAACCATTACTTAACCTTAAAATGTTTAATTTTTATTATTGTGAATGATTTTGACTGTCATTGTGTCATTGATTTATTAGCACCAGTTATAGAAATCAGTCAATTAAATTACTAATACGCATTTGTAAAATTGCAATACACAAAATGGAAATAATGGAAGATGACGATGCTTTGAAAATACTTGATATCATTAATATTGCATACTACGAAGAATATAAAATAATGTATACAAAAAACGATTACTTTTTCAATGCGATTTAGGTTGGTCGAAGAAACTTCTTAATTTCCTTGATGAAATTGAAGCAAATTTATAGTATCCTTGTAATAAATATTATGTAGGTTTCAAATTTAAATATTTTTATAGACAATTAGGCATTCCAAACAAAATGGCTACCAGTGGGTTTTGACAGGTTATGATATGACAAAATCATGGCAACCCTGTAGGCCTGGTGTTTTAAAATGGTCAATGAAATAGATAGTAACATAGATTGATCATCCATATTTTTCAAAATAAACATAAGCTTATGCCTTGAAGTAAAAATGTAGGTAATTATTTTTTTTACTATATTCAAAGGCTGAATATTAGTTTGTAAACATATTTTTGCAAAATCGATTCTAATTAATGAGTACTTGCGAGGCAATATGGCCGCTCGCAAACGACCCGCTTTGAGCAATCTATATAACTATATATGTATCATTGATCCTGTCGATGACAACAGGCTCACAGGTTTGCCATATCTAAAATGTCAGTTCCCACTTGTCAGCAGTTTGACAGGTCGTTGGAATGCCTAATACAATTATAACCTTTTTTAAAAAGAGTGTTTTTTATTCGAATATTTTTTTTTGTAAAATTAGCATTATAAACTCTTGGTAGTATTGGCTACCTCATCCTCATCTTTCAACGTTAGTATGATTTCTATAATTTTTGTAATTATTGTAATCGTGAAAAACTCTCCTTCCGAGAATATTTCAGATTTTCACGTTTTAGGGTACCTAGATTACGAAAAACATGTTTCCCCATTCCGTAAGTCTGTCTGTCTGTTGACAGGATAGCTCAAAAATGGGTTTATAGAAAAACTTCAAATTTTGTATGCAGATAAGGTTCTTTTTTTTTTGGCTCAAGACCAGTTATACTTCCGATCAGTTATATACAGGGTGGGCGGTGTAAAAAAAATATTTTTAAAAGTCTGCAGATTTTGACTAAAATTGGTATCTGAGAATTTTAGAAGCCAAATATAACAGATCCTAAATAAGTTTTAAAAATTCAAAATGGCGTTGAAAGGAATCACATTTAATTAAAAAAGGTCCCTCTTAAATGGAAATAATAAAAATCGTCCTTTTGGTTTGTTTAACTGGACCATTTTAAAAGCAGCCTATCATTATTGTTCAATGCGCTAGTTCAGTGTGATGTCATTTTGGTTCCACTGACATTTAATTTTAACCAAACTTTTAACAAAAACATCAATAAATTTGACATATACGTTTTTACTGTTTTTAGTTTATTTTTAAATATTTTTTACAAGTCATGAAAAATAGTTTAAAGGTATGTAATTGGTAACTAAACGATTGTATATTTGATGCATGTTATCTAGTTACTTTAGGAATATATTTATAAAAGTGAAAAAACGATATAATTTAGGTAAACAAAACGAACAAAACGCACTCAAAAAATCTACTGTCACTTTAATTGTTAGTGGAACCATAATTACATCATCACTGAACTAGCGCATAAGGGTGAACTTGACGAAAAATATCGAGCGGACGCGAAGTGAGATTTCGAGTGGGACCAAGAGGAAGATTGATGGAGAGATAAATGTGAAAAAAAGGTTTTTGGTTTGGTGACTTTAATTTTAAATTATTAATATTTAAGTACTTAGGCGTTCCCTGTTTTTACAATTTCTATATCGAGGGTTAAGTTCTGGGTAAAATACTTTACCGATTTTTTTTATACTAACTAATTGAATTAATACTGATTTTACTCTCATTATGGCTGTACTTCGTATTCTACTTTATTACTTTTTCTGACACAGAAGAGAGTTGTTTTCTCTTCTGCGCCTGTGACAATCATAACTTTCATTCAACATTCAAAATAAAATTTAAATTTGACATTTTCTTCTTTTTCTAGATAAATCTTGACTTTGCCAAATCAATCTGACAATTAATTGTTGCTTTTTAATCGGCTGGTACGAATTAAACTATGATACGTAATACTTACTAAGAGGAAATTTATTCTAAAGTTTTGCAAATGACCCAAAATAATTGTATATAATTTTATTCTGTAAACTAAACTAATAATAAAAAATAATTAATTACTTAAATATATAGGAATCAAACTATAATAAAAGGACTACAATCAGTTATATATTCAAGTATCTAGCTTTTTTTAAATTTAATTAAATTTCTGTTGAATAATTCAATTTTTTGTTTGTAATATTTTATTTTACAGTATACCAGTTGTTTTTTCATAAAATTATGCTGAGCAAACGTTTTTGATGTCATAAGATACACCTATCAGCAAAAATAATTTAAATAAAGTTTGCCAGTGGTGTACGTTATGAGTAAGTACACACATTTAAATTTTACGCCACTCTCCAAAAATTATTTGTACTATAATTTTGAATTTTTTGATGTTTTTTAAATAAATTATGTACTCTTGTTGAGAATTTATAAAAAAAATCTAAAATTACAACATTAAAAAATAAATTAAAATGAAGAATTTCCACCTTTATAAGTTCCCAAGAGTACATGATTTATTTTAAAATCATCAAAACATTTAAGTAAGTTTTTGGACAGTGGCGTAAAATTTAGAGGGGATGAAGGTGTTACTTATCCATGCTGTACGCTATGGGCAAAGTTTATTTAACTAATTTTTCTGCTGATATGTGTATCTTATGACACCAAAAATGTTTGCCCAATTTAATTAAATTATACTGAGAAATAAACAAATTATAGCCATTAATAATTTTGGAATTTTCTTCTTTAACACCCTGTATGTCGGAAACCACCAGTATTTTATCTAAGCATGTTTCGCTTAATCGTCTTATTTTTAATCAGAGAATCTTTAGTTGTTCTGTGTCCCATTCTTAATGGCTGTTTTGACAATTTATATAAAGTATCTTTTTTTATTTTCAGCTGCACATATCGGAGTCGGGATATCAGGTCAAGAAGGTATGCAAGCGGTCCTAGCTTCAGATTATTCGATAGCCCAGTTTAGATTTTTGGAAAGGTTATTGCTGGTACACGGACGATGGTCTTATTATAGGATGTGCAGTTTTCTGAGGTACTTCTTCAATAAGAACTTCGCGTTCACGCTGTGCCACTTCTGGTATGCTTTTTTCTGTGGTTTCAGCGCTCAGGTAAGTCATAAAAAAATAAAATTCAAATATAAAAAATCGTGTCGCATTTTTATAGTAATCAATATGTAAAATTTCCTATAGAGTATACGATATAAAAAAAATTATCTTGACAATTTAATCTTATTTACGTAAAAAAAATCAATAAAGGTCTATATATTTTTAAGAAAACCTTTATTTGTCAGTTTAATTGGGCATTCAATACCAAATTGGTATTAAATACTATTATTGATTATTATTTGCACTCATAAGCAACCAATAGTATGACTACAACTGGCAATGACTTTGTGATATGAACTTTTGAATTTTATGTTTTTCCACCTCCACAATAAAATGGTGAATATTATTTGCATAAAAATAAACTCTGCAAGATAGGATTTGTAACTATTTTTTAATTAATATTACAAAATGTAAATTAATACATTATTTTTTTTGCATTAGGCCATTGATTCATTTCGCAACGATTTTTCTTCAGCTTTATATTATGTAAAATCTCGTTCCACACCCGGCAACAAAGCAAATTCGGCTTTTATTTTTTTTTTCCACTCATGTTAGGTACTTTTTTTTGTAGACTGTATTTGATCCTATGTATATATCAATCTACAACTTGTTCTACACATCCTTGCCCGTTCTCGGCGTCGGCATTTTCGATCAAGACGTAAACGACAAGAACAGCGTCATCTTTCCTAAACTGTACACGCCGGGACACTTAAATCTGTTCTTTAACAAGAAAGAATTTTTTCGAAGCGCTCTTCAAGGGTGTTTCGTTTCAATGGTGCTTTTCTTTGTTCCTTTTGGTAAGTACCAACGAAAACCAATATTGTTGGTAACACTCTTAGACTTTGTGAGTTATGCTTTCGTTTTTATTTAGTTAAATCTGAAATAAGGGCGTTGATTAATAAAAAACAGGCATTATTTTTTAGAATTAATTTCCTCTTTGTAAAACACCAAATTTTTGAGAAATAACAAAATTTTTACAAACAATCCGATTTTGAGAAATTACCTAATTTTAACAAATAATCCCATACTAAAAAATAAGTAGCCTGATTTTGACAACTAAAAAAAAAAAAGTTCTTATAAAATTTTTTGCCTGATTGTGAAATAAACGATATGTATACAGAGTAGAGATGGAACTTTTCATGAAAAGTAATTTTTGGACTAGTCCGTCAGACATGTCTGGAAAAGTAGTGAAAAGTAATGAAAAGTAATCGACCTTGAGCACAGAAGACACAGTTAAATCTCCATCCTAAATGTTTTTTTAAAAACACTTTGTTTATTTTAGTAAGATACGAAACGAAAATTCGAAAACATCGTTAACACATTATAAAAGTCAGTAAACATATGCCGTTTCTTCTTTTTTAAACTAAATTTTGTCTTTGTAAGAAATTCAGACGATTTAGTTAATTTAATTTCGCGCATGCACTTCTTCACTTTTTGAAAAGTGTGTTTGAACTAGTCAACTTTTCAGACTTGTCCGTGGACTTTTCAAAGCGACCCATCACTAATACAAAGTATAACTATATTCGACCAACAATGCTCTACCCCTGAGGATTCTCGTTAATTGCTGAATTTTGATATATGAACATGAACCAACCCTTAAAAGGCAGGGTGTTAAGAGTTTTAAAATCAAAATTAAAAATTTGTCATAAATCAATAATGTCATAGATTAGAATTTAGAAACATTGAGTCATTACTAATTATCTAAGTACATGCAGACTCTTGTTTATAAGCAAATTTCTGCAACACCGTTCATTTTAGCTCCATAAAAGGTTATTATTTTGTTAACCAAAAAGGAACAGGGAATTTAAAAATAAATAAATAAAATATTTGTTTCAGTGGCATAGAAAATAAAGAATAAAAGTTGCCACTAACTCTGATTGCTTTCGACTGGGTAAATTCTTCAAAAGTTAGTATATGTCAAATTAATACTTTCCTAATGATCACACTGGTCACCGAATTTAAAAGAAAGGTTTTTGATTTATGGCAAATTTTGAATTATGATTTCAAACTTTCAACACCCTGTATATCGGTAACTAAGCCCTTTAAGGGTTCATATTCATATGTCAAAATTAATTGATTACTAGGAGCTCTCGTAGGAGCATCTTAGATAATATAGTAGCAGATAGGCCACCACTGCATAAAGTTATACAATATTAATCATATAATCAGTATCTCTCTTTTTAATGAAGGCTTTCTCACTCGTTTTTGAATTCTCAGCAGTAGCGTACCGTAAAACAATTTCGCTGGGTCATTTTAAATGCGAAAATGTTGACCAAGTAGAATATAAAATAAAATGTTTTAAAAGGTAGGTAGGTGCATTTTTAATGAAGTGAAAACAAAATATGACTTTTTTGTTATGACTATAATATTAATAACAATTACTTTTAACACCACCACAACACGAACAAATTTAAATTAAACACTGGAATAATTGTCTAAGAAAAGCTTTGTAAAACTGACAAATACAAAGAGATAGAGATATTAATCTATTTCTCTCTAATTAGAATTCTCGACCATATCATGGCGACACAAACATTGTTTACTGTCCTCTCTTTACTACTTACTTACTCTGAGAGGAGCGTGGAAATAAATATCAATACTAAAATGTGACTAATTTAAAAATTTACGCAAAGGAAAATAAGAAAAACTCAAAAATTGAGTCACAGAAACGACGAGCGACCATTTGCCTCTTGAAAACAACTTCTGCTTTGACTAATGTTGTGGCAGTTGTGTCTATATTTTATGTTTTTCTCATGATATAATTCAATGCATGTTGCAGTATTAGCTAAAGAAGTAGTTGTTTTCGGGAGGAGTCGCAGGACGTTTCTGTGGCACAGTTCTCGAGTTGTTTTAGTTTTCCTTTATCTTTCAAGTTTATAGAGGGTGCTTTCTAATTGCGTACATTAAATTTAATGTAGAGATAATTTCATGAGAAAACGTCCGTATAAACATGGGTCCGGAAACGCTATGTTCTAAAGATACAGGGTCTTATGAAAGAAACCCCCCGGAACGGCACTGGACTTAATAATTTTAATGTAATTAGGGCTAAAGCAGGCTTTTACCACTAAAAATAAATCTGCCAAATATCAAAAAAATAGGTTTAAAAAAAGTTAACATCCTGTATCTTTAGAACAAGGCGTTTCTAGGCCCATGTTTATATGGACTTTTTTTCATGAAATTAGCTCAAAAATACACCCTTAAATTTAATATACGCAATTAGGAAACACCCTGTATATTCCACATTGTGGGCCAAATTACTTGTACACTTTTTAACCATTAATAACTTTTTCTAAAATGCTGCATTTAACCTTTTTGTAAAAACATTAAGGTTGAGAGATTCAAAAGACTTATTGCTTTTTTTCACCCTTAAAAATAGTTTGTTTTTATTGCCCATGATGAATATTTTTCTATAATACACTTGCAAGGTTTAAGAATATTGTCAATGAATCAAATTATTATTTTAAAATATTAAGGTTTATTTTAATTTTGATTCGAAATTTTAGGTACTTACTACGACGCGGTTGGTCCCAATGGTCACGGGTTATCGGATTATATGCTGTTTTGCAGTGTGACTGCTGCCATATTGGTTATCGTTAATACAGCACAGGTACATGTTTTTTTTTTGTTCTTTTTCTAACACACCTCTTAACTAAATCTCTCAAATATTACAATAAAAATTTCTTAATTATTTAAATAGTATTGCAAAGTTTTCTAATAGTGTATTCTATTTGTTACACTAAGTTAAGTGTTCTACACTAATCGCATTTGATTTGTTCAGTGTAGCTTCAAATATTTGACTGTAGCACAAGTGTAGCATATACTTTTGACAAGTATGAGAGTTGGAATACAGTGTCGAGTGTGACACTAGTACTACAAATAAAATTCATTATAAATTTCAAGAAAATAAACTGAGATTGTATAATAAAATTAAAAAGTGAAAATAATTCCATCTACATAATATATAAAATTAAAACTAGAATGAAGATATATAATGCTTGGCATTCTAAATGATACTCTTCACAGTTAAACAAACCCCTCATTTTTAATCAGATTTTTTTCAGAATCAATAGGCTTCGTCCGCTTATATAACTTAATTTTTTGTAAACATTTCAAGTTGATATTGTTCTTCGTTTTTGTTTTATAATTTTTTTTTTTAAGTTTCAATCATCCCTTAACCCCTCATTTTTTAATCTTTTTTTTATAAATCAATACGCTTTGTACATTTATAGAGATTGATTTTTCCTGAAAATTTTAAGTTCATATCATTTTTCTTTTTTTTTTTTGACGTGACATCGGACGGACATTTTTAAAAGTTGTTTAAAATTTGATGAGAAGGATTTTTGTACAAAAATGTTTAAATTTGGATGAATATTAAAAATTTCGGTTTCTTGAAAGTAAAAACCTTCACAAACTACTGTGTGAAAAGTATAATAATGTCCTAATAGATATCTAGCTGCCAAATAAATTCAGGATAAGTTAACCTTCCACTAGATTGCCACAAAATAGACTTTCCTTTTACATATGAAGCATTCCATTTTGTATGCACGTGTCGCTTACGGTAGATAGAGCTGGGATGGCTTTTTATCTGCGGGGGTATAACGTTACGTCCCATAGGCGTACTTTGCAAAATAAGTTTCTATAATATAAATAAGGTTACGGCATATAAAATGGTATACACGCACTAGATTAAATTTTGCATGAAAAAAAGTTATATTATTTACAAAAAATAAAAATAAACCTTATGCTTCTGACAAAATTGTTGTACTTGAACATTGAACGAAATAAATTTAACCAATAAATAACAAGGAGGATTATATGTTAATGGGATTGAACTTTTTTTAATCTCTTGGCATTACAAGTAACACTTCAGTACCTAAAAATCAAAGATTGAACAAAATAAAAAGTTTAAGAACTATCTTTAAAAGTCACCGTCTTCACTATAACTACTAGTATTATTATAATTGTTTTTTCTGAGGTTTATTATTATAGGGTCTATTAGATTTTCCATTGGTATATCCCCTTCCCAAAATGAATTTTTCACATTTTTAACATGATCAATGCATGTTCTCCATTTACATCTGAAAGTGCATTCAAAAACAAATTCCGCACATCAGGTAATTTAAATGTGTTATTTCGAGAAACATAACCTTTTAATTGTGACCAGATCAGTTCGATGGGATTTAACTCTGATGTGGTAAGGAGACAATATGAGAATTTCAATTCCTTTTTCTCGGGCCATCTCGTCTATAATATATTTTTTGAATTTGTTTTTATGTTGCCTTGCTATTACGAGTAATTTCTTTATGGTAGTCTTTTGTTTTCTTTGACTAGAACATCTGGCATAAACCCATCGGTGCTACCAATGTGGGTTATTATTAAACGATTCCTTTTCCTGTTGGATACCCCTTTCATTAAGGCTTGTTTTTTAATTTTAATGGAGGTATCTTAATTTTTGTTACTGTATGTCCAGATTAATCCATGTTTAATCTAAATAATAAAATACAGTTCATGCTGATTATTTTCCTTAAATAATCATGTATCCACGCAATGATTTCGTCTTTCTCTGTTTAAAATCTGTTTCTGTCACGTTTTTTGTATCGAAAATTTAATTCATGTAATGTTTTTTGCAGATATATGATATATTTGGAAGAGTAGGACTATTTTCTATTTCTGAGTGTAATTTTTTAAGACTAAGAATTTTATTTTGAAAGAAAAAAGAATGTACCATTTGCCTTATTACATTCTTAAAGGTCTTGTTTCATCCTAGGGGCTTTTTCACATTTGATACTTCTCCAATAACTGTATCTTCTTTAATAATGTTTTACACTGTCCGTTTAGATACTCCAGTATATGTCTCACATTTAGTGGCTATTTCATCCACAGAAAGTGAAACAAAGTCTTTTTGAAGATTATTAAATACATTAAGTAAGATATTTTTTCTTGTAGATCATTAGGCGTACTTATGCTTGCAATATTTTCTAATGCACTCGCCATCCCTATATTACCGTAAAATTATAATATATACTAATACAAAATTCCTAATTAATTAAAATAAATATGATGCAGCTATGAATAAATAAAGTCCGACTTATCTGTCAAAAGAAAAGTTTTATTACAGTAAAACCATGGAAACATAATTACATCTGAAAGACAACTTTTATTAGGCCGATCAGATGTATTAAAATTTTCACTTTAACTACAAATAAGCAAAGGATGAGGTATAAATAATATGTCTACCTCTTGAGCCTTACTACGTTCTGTAAATTAAATTACTGCACTCCTTCCTTCTCTAGACTATAAACTAACATTTTCAAGAATTCTACTACAAAGAAATGACTTTCCCAACTGTTATATTGTCCGATCGAATATTGATATACATAGCTAAATTACTAACATATACTTGATTCTTGACTAATACAACGCTTCAATTTAGAACCTTTAAGTTATTGCTGCCATAATCGAATAATTAATTTATTATACGAGAGCAGTTCAAAGAATTTGTTCTCTCAATTCTAATTGTAATGCTCCCAGTACTATCTTTTTTCTTGCTCTATTTTTTCGAGGATATCCAAACTGTTAAATGAGAAAAACGTTTTTCAGATCGCCTTAGACACGATGTATTGGACGGTGTTCAATCACGTAATGATTTGGGGCTCGCTAGGGTTCTATTTCGTAGCCGACAACTTTTACAATTACCTCTGCCACGGACCGTACGTCGGCGCTCTCATTAAGGCGATGTCCGAATTGAATTTTTGGTTCACTACCGTCCTAGTTGTTATCATCTCCATAATGCCCGTGCTGGCGTGGAGATTCTACTTCGTCGACGTGTTCCCCACGTTGTCAGATAGAGTCCGATTGAAGCAAAGAATGGCTCAGGTAAGAATTAATTTTTTTTAAGGCCCAGTCTTTTCATCTCTGAGTAAAGTTGAAAGTAACTACTTGCTGATTAAACTATAGGACCATTATTATTATGTGTCAAGTAAACTACATGTAACTTTACTCAGAGGTAAAAAGATCGGCCCTAAATATATTATAATTTATATTTTCTAGGATAGTATTAGCGTTTCAATATTTGAAACGGCTATTTCAATGGTTTTCTATTGGTTCTTTTTCTGTATTAACATAATTGTTTAAGTTTTGCGCTAAAATAGTGTTATTAATGTTTAAACACGTTTTCCAGTATTTTTTAAGCAGAATTACGTATTTTGAATGATATTTAACTATTTAATTAGGTATTTCGACTATTTTTTAACGTTTTTAAATTAGTTTGCACTTATTTAGTATCTTAAAACGTGAAACGACTAATTAAACAAATTCTTGATATCCTGCTATAGAAGCTATCCTCCTTTTCAGAGTGATGCGTCTTGATTACAATAATTAACCTAATTTCGCCCCATGTTGCCCGTCGTCCGTTGCCAAAATTGGAATCGTCAATTTTGCTATTTCCAACTTTCTATTTGGAACAAATTCGAAATAAAGTGGGAAATATGATTTATAGAAATCAAGAAAACCTAGATTGAGGTTCTGTAAAATTATGGACCTTAAGTAATATGTTAAAATTTTGGGTTGTTCAGGTTCTATCTAGTTCAAAGGTTTGGTTGAGATAATTTTTTCTTGGTCTTATTAACCAATTTTGTCGTTTATCATCTGATTTGTAACACAATCCTATTTTTCAATTCCAGGTGCGAACGAGACACAGCATGGACATTCTCAGAACGCCGTCTGCGAGACGCGTGCGCCGTTCGATACGGTCTGGTTATGCGTTCGCTCACCAGGAGGGCTTCGGTCGTCTTATCACCTCCGGAAAGATCATGAGGAAGTTACCGAATCCCGAGTTCAACATACCGAACATCATGAATAAGCTGAACATGACGAGTGGCAACGACAACCATAACCACCATCACAACAAGGCCGCCACAAGTAGCGCCGGAGGCGTTACGGCTTCGCCTTCTGATGGTAAGTATTCAGAGATAAAATAATAATACGATTCTAAAGAATGTTTCTAGATATTTGGTTTTGACTTACTACCATAGACATATAACCAAGATAGATAAGGTGCCATCCATAAATTACGTCACACGAATTTCATGATTAAGTGTTAAATAGATCATTCTTTCTTATTTAATTTATTAATTTTTTTACCGAAACTGGAACCTCGGCCTTGTGCCGTCCGCGCGCTAACCAATTAGGCCACCTCAGCACATAAGCTTTGATGTCTGAATTTGTAAACTTGAAGTAAATCAGGTTCAGGCTCCCGTCGTTACACATAAATATCATTCCATCTCAGCTCTCTAAATGTTTCTTGATTCCACCCTTTTTGACATTGTGTACAAAGACAGTAATTTATAAATGCATTAGAACTAAATATCTAAGATCCTTCATTCGTTCAACAGTGTTAAGTTGTCGAGTACGGTACGCTGTAAACATGAACTGAATTGATAAAGTCGGTTTCTCATTTCATTTTCTTAAAAAATAGGCACAATTTACCTTCCTATATTTAAATTATTTTTTTTTAACCGACTTCAAAAAAGGAGGAGGTCTCAATTCGTCGGAATATTTTTTTTATGTATGTTCATCCATAATTCTTTAACACGGTGTCCGATTTCAATGATTCTTTTTTGTTAGAAAGGGGGTACTTCAGAGGTGGTCCCATATAAATTTTGTCAAAATCTAATAGTTGGGTCCATGAGAAAATCCTCAAACTCTTCATTTTTTATGTATGTTTATCGATAATTATTTACCACCTTGTCCGATTTCTATAATTTTTTTGTTAGTAAGGGGTAACCCCATATTAATTTGGTCAAGATGTCGCGTGGTGATGGCATCTGCACGATTTTGAAGTCGGTTTTTTTAAATTACTTTAATACTTGTATTGATCCCTATTGGAAAATTCTACCCTAAAATATTAAATGTAGGTAGTAGCTTTACATTAATAATTTTATGTAATGTGCCTTTCTTCATTTTCCAGTAAATTTTCAATCAAAACTTCTCCAACTACATCATTAAATGTACATTTTAACATTCCTTTAAAAATAATTATTTTAAATATTGACCGAAATATTGGTTAATTGGTCCAAAATTAATCTCGAAAAACGGGTTAAATTAGGGACACAGTTGTCTGAAAAATGATGGCTCAAACGTCAGTCCACTAACTGGTATATGTTTATGGTTACCTTCAAGTCGAATGTCAATCTGTCACAAATGTAACACTTGGTCCAAATATAATCGACATATATCATTGTATTTATTTTTTAAAGGAACCGCTATCAAAAATACTGAGTATTTACGGTTAGTTGTCTGTTAATATCGGACCATAGTGAATAGGAATATATTTTTTTTTCTAATTTTTGAAATATACAGTAACATCTTTTGTAATCACAGCAAGTGTCAAAACGATCTTTGTGTAACTAGTTATATAAAGTTAAACATTATGAAACTGGTTACGAAAAATTCATTATGTCACGGTTTGCAAAAAAGAAAACAAACAAACCTTTTTTTGTTTTAAAATCATTTTAAGTTTATATCGAAGGAATAAAGGTTGGCTTTATAAAAAATAGTTTGTTAATGAACTTTCAACCTAGTAATAATTCTGTTTCAATTCCTATTTTCCATCCTAAATTTGCATAAAATAATCGAAAACACTGATCTAATCTCACTCAATACATGTCAACAAGAAAACGACTAAACAAAAATAGATATTTTTTTTTTATATTTGAAATAATAGATAATTATTTTTTATATGTATGAAATAACTACGATTTTTAAAATTTTATTTTGATAAAATCTTTGATTAACAAATAAATAACGGTTAGTCAAAAATCTTGTATAGGTTGAGTTGCTATGAAATAAGTCGAATTATTTTAGCTTTTTTAAAATATATGTAAATATAATTTTGTAAACAAAACGAGAATAATGAAATAGGCATATGACAACAGCGGATATGATACCCGCCCGTGTCCCTTAGAATATGTCTTATTCAGGACCGCGATATTTGTTAGTAGTTACATCTCCTGTTATTTCTGGTAACTTTTTAAAACTAACGAAAGGCTACTCCAAATATATTAACTGAATACAGGAAAAGCAAGAGAATACAAAAGACCCAAGAGGCTGCAGTGTTCTGGGCTAAACCTAACCCTACCTACTTACCGACAAAAATAAAGATAATGTTTATGAAAAGGGTTCTTCTGCTTAATTTCCCGGTAAAGGTATCTTAACCCTAAGAGTTAACCACTGATTGTGAAACTGGTTGTCACCGACCTTCAAATTGTGGCTGTAACTTGGATTAGATATGCAGTCTTATTTTTTCATTAACCGTATATTTCTTCTAAGTGTGTGATTCTGCAATAAATTAAAATTTTATATTTTTGTTGTAGGTAGCAGCAGTGGCGGCGCAGGTAGGGCCCCGATCCAGGACCTGGACACAATCAATCTGTGACGAAGGGGTTCCGATTAGGACAATTTTTAAAAAGAGGGGCAATGTTTTTAGTTTTGTTTTCGCTACTTAAGTATCCAAAAGTATTGTTTTTTGGTTGTTGTTAAAAAAAAGAAGACAACTCGAAAAAAAAAACGAAGTTACGGAAAATGAATGTTTCATATTGATTTTTTTTATGTCAGAACGATCTAACTCGCCATATTCGTTAATTGTTATAAAATATTGGTTCCGTAGAATTTAATTTCTTTGTAGGCGTCATGGTAGTATTAAAAGTATCGTTGTTTTAAATGGAAATTTCTTTCATTAAATGAATTGCTTTTTTGCAACTGGCGGCTATAAGCTGGCTGTCCAAATAATAATTGTGTTCTCTATTTTTTCTTGTTGCTTTTTGCACCTAGTTCAGTATTAATTAGTCCATTTGGTGCTCGAGTTTGTTTTTCCCTTATACAATGTGATTCAAAACTAATTTTAAAAAAATATATATTATGTACGCAAAATAACTAATCAGATCCAAAATCTTGAGAAACATCTAGAAGTTCTCTAATTTCCACTTGTGTTCTCAAAAAACCATAATAGAGCAATGAATGGACTTTTATTTTAATAAGCTGTATTTCTGACAAATTTGGATTTAAATGAGCTACGAGTTTTCTAAAAAGGGTTTATGAGAAACAATTGCTGTAAATGAGAAAGCATTGCATTATAGTTAAATTCCTCGCTTTTAATGTCTGTAGAAGACTAGTTAGTTTTTGACGTATCACCTTGTCGAATGCCTTTTACATATCGAATACATTAGCTTCAAATCTAAATTTGAAGAAAATACGCCTATTTAACACGTTTAAAACTGCAACAGCTTGTGATAAAAATAAAAAAAAATGTTTATTAAAAAAAAGTATTCTTCGTTTGCCAATAAACTAATTTATTTAACTTAAATTGTGACGTGTCAATATTTGTTGTGATTTTTGTTTGTTTTTTCATTTAAATCCAATCAAATGTAAAATGATTATATTTATTAGAGAAAAGGTTAAAGACATCTGTGATAATAGATTAATTAGTTAGTTAAATAATTTAGACAGCCACAATGATGAAATTCGTTTAAAAGATTTATAAATATATATATTTAGCGTTTGCAAAATCTTAGAAATGATGTACTTAAGCACGTCGTGTCTTATAATTAGAAAAAAAAATGGTAAATATTTTCTGGAAAGGAAAAGGAATGAGAAAATTAGTTATAAAATCAAGAGGTCGCGGCCAAAAATGGACCCTTGTAGACCTTTCGATATATATAACTTCATTTTAACGATTCTAATTTATAAACGGACATTTCTATATCATTCATTACGATTATAAAGTTAAATCAAGATGATCGGTCTGAAAATTGACCCTTGTGGACCTCTCGACATAACTAATTTCAGTTTAACGATTTTAATTAATGTACAATTTATAAACAGACATTTCTATATCATTAATTACGATTATGGAGTTTTAATTAAATTTGTCTGTCCTGCAAAATGGTTGTGGTAAATTTCAGTTTTTTCTTCTTTTTCTAAAGGACCTGTTTTGGGGTGGTAATTTTGGCAAATATTTAGCATTTTTGTGATATAATTATTTGGGAAATCGTTTTCCTAAGTCCAAACCGTATGAATACAGGGTGTTTATTTTATCCTGATTTAACGTTTTTTAGTGTATTTAAAAAATAATGCGAAACACAAACGCAGGTCCGTATTAAAAAAAAAATTATGTTTAGTTTGGTTCATAAACATTTTTTCTAGAGTTATATTAATAACAAATATAAAAATAAGATTCGTATTTATAAAAAAAAATATTGATGGTGGTCCTGAAAGGCAAAAAACGTCGCATGGAAAATTTAATACGACAGGATAGTAATTTGTATAATTTTATACAAAAATTATTTTTCATTTTTAAATAAAGATGATACAAAGAAAAATAAGTAAGGTTAAATCATGATAAGAAAAACATCTGCAGGGTTTTCAGTAAATATACCTACTTTTGAGGGTAGTAGGGAACATTAAACTAATTAGCACCAAAAACTCTTCTATTCTATCCTAACCGTAGCAAAATTTTTATTTATATAAAACTATTTTATATCTTTCTGTTTTAATTTTTGATCTATCAGTACTATCGATGTCAATTCCGAAAGGTTTTCCTAATCCGGGGATTTTCGAGATACGTACGACTAATCCCGAGATTAGATGTATGAAAAAAAATCAAAATAAAATTCGAAAAAAAATTATTTTATTAAAACACGAAAATTTAAAAAAAACTCTTAAACGATCTCAAAGAAATGTGTTGTAAATACCAACAAATAAGGTTTAGATTTATATTTTTTTTAAAAATACCACCAAAATATCAGTGAGTATAAAGTTTAATCTCGCAGCCTCGGAACTTATTTTATTACATAAAAATCCTGTGAAGAAGAAATATCTCTCTTGATTCCACGCTTGTGGACTGAATGGTTAATAAAAATTCAAAGAGTTTTTGAAGTTTACATTCCCGTTTTATCCCGAGGTTAGATCTAATATTATCCAGCTATTTTCGAGACAGATTTTCCGTTGGGATCCCTGAACTCCCAGAGCCCGGAATTGACATCTCTAATCAGTATTGCTACCTTTAATTTTAGTAGATTTCGTTAGGCCATAATGTTTCTCAATGAAAAATTGCCGATTTTAATTAAAGATTTCCCTTCACTATAAAGGGTATATCAACTATTTGAGATAGGATTGAAACTTTTAAAAGAAAGTTGTGAAGAACAATGAAAGCTCTGTTTAAAAAATTACTAATATGTTATAAAACTTATCAAAGTTGTTGTTTTCCTTTGAACGAGTATTCCTCAAGAATATAAGGATGTATGGGTTTATCCAGGTGTTTCGGAATTTATGGTGCAATCTACAAGCTGTACCATTCCATTAGTGAGTGTAAGTCCAATATGTCAGTTGTTTTTAAAAACACGAGGCAATGTCGGATATAACAGATTTACGGTTCGCAGAAGCGCCCATTGTAAAAATATTTTCCAATATACAGGCCTCCAAAAAGCAAGACATATTTTTTTTCTTCTACTAAATCAACATATGTCTAAATTCAGTTTCCTTATGACTTTAAAAAATTGACTTTTTCATGCTTTGACAAGTTGTAGAACCCAAACACTTGAAATTAGAATAAAACGGTTTACATGTCCCTATCTTAGTTTTTCATATCCTATTCAGATATACGAACTTTTGGATTAATAGAATATAAAAGGTCTAACTTCCGGTTAAACCAAAAGTAGGTTATTTTATTGCATATTTGAATAAAAAACTAAGATACGGAGATGTAAACCGTTTTATCTTAATTTCAACTGTGTGGGTGCTACATTGTGAAAAAGTTAATTTTCAAATGTCAAAAGCTTGAAAACAATAGAATTAAGACATATATGGCGTTTTAGACAAAAATACTTAGATTTTTTACTAGAATTCAAAAATAAAATACAAGGGTGTAAGTAATATATAAATTTAACATTAATGTGGAAACAAACATTAATCAAATTTACTTTAGGCTTTAGATAAGGCAAGAAATAAATTCTACTTTCTAAGCGTTCATAATAGGAAAAATTCTAAACTTATCTCTTTTTAAATGGTTCTCTTCAAAGATGTAAAAGAAAGCTCTCTCTTCGACTTCGGGTCAGTAGATCAAATGACTTTGTTCAAGGGGGTGGAATGTGGAAGGTAGTTTTGTTTATTTAATCCGACAGTACAACCATTTATTTAACGTTAAAGAAACTATTATATGTTTATAACATAACCTCCAAAATTTAAGCCATCTTAAAAGTAGGTTTTGAACGATAAAATGAGGAAATGGTAAATAGGAAGGATCGGATAAAACGTTTTAACTATTATTTTACAGAAATTAAAGGTATTTTAAAATAGTTAAAAATGTAACATATCAATCGTAACATAAATCTTAGTTTAATCATTATATGGAAGGCCTTAAACACAAAAATATTAATATCAAACCTTGCCCTAATAAATAAGACGGCTTTGGAGAACCAAAATGCAACTGATAGCAGATTATTCCGATTTACAAAGTTACGTCTTCCAGCATCGAAATTCAGAAAGAATGACAATGTTCAAAAACGTCAGCGATCGGAGATATCATAGATATACCGTTCAATGATTGGCAGCACCGAATCGTGACACCGATTAGAGATAGGACTCTAGAGATTGGAGAAAAGTAACAGTATCGTAGCTCTACCGCCTAATAAACAATTTCTGTCATGTTTATTATTTCTTCAGTGCCTAATTTCATTTTGAAGCAAAAAATATTAGATTTCGACTATAAATTCACCTTATCGATAATTAAATGTCAAGTTTATTGTCAATTTCTATAACATTCAAATGTTTCAAGGATAATTTGAAATTTTGCTTTATTTTAAGATCAAATTTATTTTAAGTTTGAGAGCAATTATTGTAGATAGACTTGTAAATACATTTCATATGGAGATCAAGTAGTCAAATCCTACATTTTCTGCAAGCTCGTAATGTGGACTATTCTGGTGTGACCCATTTGAAAAAATGATAAAAAGTTTTCCGAATTTTGGTTTCCCCCGTATGGGAAAAACGCCATTCAGTAAAATTATGAATAGGAAATAAAAATACACTATTTTCGAGAATATTTGGTAGAAACTTTTTTGTATTCCAAATTATTGATTTCAAAATATAGAAAAAAGTGATCCTGAGTTTTGGTTGCCCCTGTATGAAAAATGAAAATACACCATTTTATTTGGTAGCAAATTTTTCTTATTTCAAATTATTGATTTTATGAATCCATTTTGTGACATAAATTCCGAACCACCCGATATAAACCCATACAATACTATATTTTTGGGAAACACTTCCAAAGGAATACAATCTAATGAAAATATATAGTGGTTTATGTAGAAAAGCATTTGATGAGTCACATTTATCGAACACCCTGTATATTGTTGTTAGTTTATTTTTAAAACATTCATTGCTTTTTACAATTTTAATTTGAAGCATTTTTTCCTATCTCAAATAGGGAAACGGTTATTGTCCACCCACGCATTATTAATACACTCTACCCTGTTACTTCTATCGAAATCATACTAATGTCGATTTTTTTATTGTTTTAAAATAAGTACTTTTTATTGAATATCTTATTCATTAAACATTACAAGGACAAAATCTAATGCTTAATAATTTATGAAAATATAGGTCCAATCCTCATCAAAATATTTAATTATTAAAGGATTACAAATCTTTTTTTTTTTAATTTAGCATCCTCTATCTTGGAAGCGAAGCATATTTAGACATATGTATAATTGGTTTGATATTCCTACTACCTCTGAAAGTTTGTTCAGCATATTTACGGGATACACTGTATCCAGGGTGTACCAATAAAAACTAAGCCCGATATTTTGGTAAGAAATAGAGATATTTTAATTCTGTAAAAGCCAGTTCACAGAGCACTAAGAGAGCTTCAGTTTTAGATATAAATTGATTTTAAATAGGTCAATATATAGATGGCGCTGCACACAATTTATTTATTTATTTTTTTTTTTTTTTTCGATATAATGCTCATTCATATTTAGCGCATCTTCTAAAAAATTCATTTTCAGCAGATTTTGTCCTATGAAATAATTCGATAAATCTAGCCATTTTTGATATACAGAGTGGGACACTCACAACAGTTTCATCCTGTTTTTCGGCATTAATCATTGGATTTTAAGAAACTACTAAAACAGGTCAATTTTTATTCTAAATTGAACACATTTTTACACAAAATTATTTTATATCTAAAACTGAAGCTATCTTAGTGCTCTATGAACCGACTTTTACCGAATTAAAATATCTCTATTACTTAGCAAAATATCCGACATGGGAGTATTTATTGGTACACCCTATATACATCGTCAGTTGTATAATATTAGAAAATATCGGTATAAAAGCTTAATTTAAAAACTACACTCATGACAAAAACAGAGCTCTTAGAAGTAGCAATTCAATGTATATCAACAATTGAAGACCTTGGTGCAAGAATACATCTTGTTTTTACATAAAAATATAAGAACAAATGTAAAAATTAGCAAAAAAAAATTATTTTTTTTAACGTCAATGTAAAAAAAAACAATGACAGTTCATTTGATGAAAGTCATTATGACCGTTTTTGCACCAAATTGGAAAGGGGACGATTCAAAAGTACTTATAACATTGGTGTTTATTAACATATTCGTCTTGTTCTTACACCAAGTCATACCTTATGCTTTGTAGAAGCTCGTGGAACACTTATATTCTTCTTGCACCAAGGTTTTCAATTTATAAATAAATAACTACTACACACCCAGTATATAATATATAATGAAACATTCATTTTCCCAATCAAAAACTTATTGTATTTTTTATAAAACGTGCACTTTTTATGTTTTTTATTTTTGTAAAGATATATTGTTGATATTTACGAAAATTGTATGCAGGTTGTCCAAAATTCCAAAACAAAAATGTATTCATCAGTGAAACGATTATCATTTAGTTTTTACAGTTTTTGAATCCATAATGTTATTGTTTTTACTACACAAAAACAAAACAGTAATAAAATATACAATAAATATTTTCGAAATTGTTTTATGTATATAATAAACAAATTTTTATTAGACACTGACAGTATTTGTAATCGTTGCGTTGTGCATACAGGATGTCTCCGAGATAATTTAAAAAAAAATTAATTCAGCTACAACTTGTATTATAGAATGAAGAACGATACATATTAAACAACTGTTGACCAATTTGAAGATTTTTGGGACAATCTGTATAAATAAAAAAAAAATGAAAATGTTTATTTGCTATTGTAAGTAACCGCTATGTGATCTTTCACTTAAAAAAAAAAACTTAGACATAAAATTATACATGTACAGTATGAGACCATTTTATGTTTTTAGACCTTAAATGTTAAGCTTCTACTAGTCAAAACAAAGTATGTTTAATGTTATAATGAGAAAAAGTATTTCTTTATTACCAAGTTATTTAAGATTATATGCTTTTCGTTTTTTATTAAGAATAAAATTTATTTTTTCTTTATGTGGAATTTTTATTTAAAAAAAAACCTTTTTACGCATATTATGCATAAAAATTGCTTCTTAGACATTATAAGTTACTAATATCCATTATGAAGGTACACACTTTAATGTTTAGGAAGGTTTTAGGTACTTAATATATTATTTTTAATATTAGTTTATTTTAGCTTTCGATTAAGACAGTTTGTGAATAATTCAGAAAGTATTAGTGAAAATGCCGAAAATAAGTGGTATTGTAAACTGGATTAAGCTATATAAAGAACTTTTTTTATAAATGGACAAAGTGTACTGCTTATTTTGAAGCACAATTTTCAGTTTTTGATTCTTTTTATATTTTGACTTATGGCATTTTTTGGTTCTAATTTTTAACGAAATAATCTAACTATATTCAATAGATCATAGGAAAATAAGGTCTTCGTATTAATTTTGCTTTCAAATAGATGAGCATGTCAAAACTGCCTCACACCTAGCAAAAAAGGATAAGTCCAAGCTTCCAGGCGAAAAAGTACAAAAATCGTTTCAGCAATCTCTCCAAATGACTTCCAAAAATTAATTATTCAGGATGTATTTAACGAAGACTTATTTCGAGCCCTGGTATAGTTCGGGGCACACAGAATGCAGTATGGCCAGGCATAGGCAATGTATTTTTTATGGGAGACCGGCACACTGTGTTGCCGTCTTTCCGATAACTATGACAATAGTAGTCGATGTTATTACAGCGTGTAATCTTTGTTGCATATTATGAGGATTATTTGTCCTTTATTTCTAATTGAACGGCTTTCTGCAGAAAGGAAGCAAGCCACAAATTTGTGATTTTTAGACTTTATCATAATATTGAATTAAGAACCGCAGAAGCAATCCAAGCGGCTTGGTTGCTTTTTGTATAATAGAGAAGTTTGTGACAGTTCGTTACTTGGTTCTCTGTGAAAGTGAGTGTGAAGTATTAAAAATAGTGATACAATATGAATGATATTGGCATATCTCAAAAAATGGATGTTGGGATCAAAAATTTCTTTTAAAAAAACGTAAGATACTTCTTGATAACAAAAACATTTCCAATTTTTTGAAAAACAAACTTTTGAAGTCTGCTTTTAAAGACTTGCTTATACCACTGTGGCTTGAAGGAAAAAAGCATAAAATCCAAAGATAGAGGACAAAAAAACTGTAATGAACCTAATTCCGAACGATTGCATGAAATTTTATGAATATATAACCGGCACGGACATCGACGACAATGTGGATTCAGCGGAGCACCTGATTTTGAACTGGAACATGAGATGAAAGAATAAATTTAAAAAACAATATATATTTTTTACCTACTTCCTTTACAGAAAGGAGCCGACCCACAAAAATTATAAAATGATTATAAAATTCAAGTGAAATATCTTCGTTTTTATATTTGTAAGGCTAGCGCCACATTAGGCAGACGTTCAGCAGTAAAACGTCAGCTGAAGACAAATCATATAATCTCTTGCGAGCAATTCGTTAACTAGCTACATCGAGCTGAAGATCGGTTGAAACGCCTTTCGTTTGAATTTACTACGCAAAGATCTCTGGCTCATATTCGGCGGCTGAACCTCTGCCTAATGTGTCGCTAGCTGAAAAATTCATATTAGTCCACCGGAAGGCGAAATTTTTAGTACAGCATAGAAACCCAGATAACAATGCTAGAACGCGCAAAAAATAAAATGTATATATTTGGCGGTTTTTCGCATTTTACATAAAAACCACGCATTTTGGTGAAAATTTTCATTAGTGAAAAGTTGTAGAGCGAAAAATTTACTATCGAACCTATGAAACAGATTTTTCCGAAACCCATTGTTACCTTCTTTTAGATTTCTACGATGTAAATTGTACTTAAGAGGTGATTTAGCTCAAATTGCTGATACTGCGTGGATTCATAAATTGACCAGCACAAATGAAATCAGAGTAGCTTGACCGGTTCGCGGGCCAAAGTCTACGATAAAATGTATGATATTATAATACGATAACGACAAAAAAATGTTGAGCACCATCGAGTTTTTGAGTAACGGAAAACTTATCTGATTTGATATGTCCTGTTTAATTGAGTCAGTCTCTGATACAAGTTATCTGTATGAGTTCTGGCAAATGAAAGAAAGTAAGAAAATTTAATATATTTAATAAAAAAAAATAAAAAGAGTGAAATTTTAGATATAATAAATTAATAGTTAGTGATTAAATCTGAATAGAAAATGAATCAAAACTGACTGATAAAATTTACTGTTAGATGATTATTAATTGTCCCGACCATGCGGTACTTCCCTTTTGTATGTCGTGGACAATCCACCTTTAGGTACTTCGATACTTGGAGCTCGGAACTTGGAGAAACTACGTAACTCGGACTTCTTGTTTCTTATAGCTTATATCTTAAAGCTTCCTGGAGCAACTACGTAACTCCGTACTTCCTGTTTCTCAGAGCTTCTTGACTTCTTGGAGCCACTACAGGTTTAGAGATAAAAAGAACCTCAGTACCGTGTGCGTACATATACATAACAGTTTGGAAATCTAACGGATTTATGCATAAACGGGACAAATATTAAAGTTACATCGTCTGAACAGAATATAAAATATAAGGCCAAAATAAGTTATAACAATAAGTTTTACATCATCTGAACAAAATATAAGCTAATTATGAGGCAAAAATAAGTTAAGAGCCATACATTTCCATTTAAACTGTATTTCCAGACTGATTTGTAATTCAATTATTTAGTTGCCTCCCCGCGTATATATCAAAGTATCAAAGAAAGCTTAAAAATATTATTAGGGTAGCTATAATCTATATAAAATAAAACAGTAATAATAAACCGGCATTCGTCGGCATGGTGGTAATAAAAAAAAGCAAATGGCCGATGTTTTTGGTTTTCCAACGAAATCCAGCAAAATGTGAATAATATAAAGCGATAGAAACATTACCCGACAGTTATCCCAACGTTAACACACAATAAACACATAAAAGACAGATAATTACTAGCAATTAATTTAACACATTTATCAGCACAAGTTAGCATGTTGAATTCGAAACACCAAAAAGAGCAGTTGAATCCAAACGAATCGGTTTTATGACGACTGGTTGCCCAAAGAAACCCTATGGACCGTGCGCAAACGACGCATTCCAAATTTCGAGAAGAAAGCGAGCGGTGGTCGTTTACGTTGTGTTACGAGGGGTTATGGAGAGGTTGTTGTTAAACATAAATTTGAAATTAATTTCACGTAACACCATCTTTTCAGTCGCTATAGCGCAGGAAGTCCTTTTCTGAATAAATGATCATTTATTTTTTATCAAAACTGCCGGCTTGGTAAAAAAAATGTAGTTGCAACATTATAGATTGTTGAATTCAACTAAATATATTAATTTTCCACCAAAGTGCGTGGTTTTCATTTAAAAAAAACTTGGTTAGAGGTTGTATTTTTCTATGCCAATCATTTTGCTGAGTTTAGTTCTTGAACTATCCAACGACGCCTGTCAAGCCCTTGAAGCAGTGCAAAAAATTGTTTAAAATTAGGCTCATTCAACAACAAATTTGTTTCCAAAAAACAAATTAAAGTTTTGTACCTAAAACTATTACAAAGTTGGAAAAACAAAAATACCACTCACAGAAAGTGTAAACTTATACATTCACTTTGTCTTGTAAAAAGTTATTGGCATAATTTTGGAACTACAATATATGAGAAGTTGAACACAACCATTAAAAAAATCTTGGATTATTAAGACACTTGTTGAAGTTGCAAGAATTTTAAGTGGAAATTTTTCCAAAAATTATAAATTGGAGCCAGATATTTTACTTTAATTTAAAAAATGCACTAATTACATCATTGGATGTGGAAAGATGCTTTTCGATTTTTAAATATAAATGTATTCAGATAAAAACATACAACTTTGGTTACAAATTTTGAAAAATATTTAGTACTCCATTGATTTAATATGTAGTTTTAATAAATGTAGGTATTTATTTTAGTTGTGTGAAACTTTTAATTTTGAATACACGTTTTTGCATATATTGAATTTTTTGTATATTTTGTACTCGAATCATGCATATTGAAGGGTATAAACTCGAAATTTTTAGTGTTTATTTGCCTAAGTAATTAGGAATTAGATTCCTCATCTATGAAAGTACACTATTAAAGTTGGTTCTAAACTTCGCAGAAAAAAAATTGGCTCTGTCAATGCCTCATATCTCTTCTTGTCCTGATTCAAAATCAAATATATTTAGCCTTTTTTGAGTGTTTAAATTCAATATTTTTACAACCCTAATGAAACGACAATTTTCTGTAAAAAATCTGCAATTTATTGTACTTTGAACACCATTTCACCGGTTTAATTCAACAAACAAAAGTAAGTAAAAAAACTTAGACAAACAAATATATGGATGTAAAAATCCACAGTACAATAAAAAATCACATTTCTAATCATTATACCAATCCAAAAACAATAAAGAAAACGACATTACTAATAAAAAGAATAAAATGTAAACTCTTAAACCAGCATTTCTTTGAATAGCTTGTCTAATTTGCTCATTGGCTTCTTTTATATTTTCAGTAGTTCCTACAACAGTGGTTGATATCCTTTCAATGTCAATTTGCTGTTGTAGGACTTTTTCAGTAAACAATTCTTGCAGTTCTGCTATATGTACAACTTTGCCTTCCATTTGCCTCACTTCATCTAAAAATAATTTTATAATTTACATATCTTCTGCTATTTAGATAAGGGATAGTCTAATATTTTTACCTGAAATACTATTCAATTCATTATAAAGCATTGCATTTTCAGATTCAAACATTTGCATCTCTTCAGTAGATAATTGTTCATCATAATTGATAGATGATTGTGAAACATCTTCTTTAAGTAAAGAAATATTATTAGACTGTTCTAAACTAGATTTATTTAACGAATTTTCGGCTTCACTCTTACGAGTTGAAGGTTTGGTTTCTAATTTAGATAACTTATGTGTGTCAATGACTCTTTTTACCCTAACAGCTTTGGCTTCTGTATAGAGTTTAGAAACATTTTTTAAATACCTCTCTAATGTTTCTATAACGTTTTGGTAGTGTTCTTCTTTCTGTGGACTCTTGGGCAATGCCTGTATTTCTTTTTTATAGTCAGAGATTAACTTGCTGCAATTATTTATTATATCTTCCGCCATACTGTCTACTTGTTGCCTGTCCAATTCAGTCATGGTTTTATTAGTTGATAAATAATTTTTTACATTTAAATACGCTGCTTTATTTTCCAATATGAAAATCTGAAGTTTTGTAATTTGTTTAACAACATCTCTTGGCGTATTGAGATTTGAATCTTTAAAAGATTTTAAGAAACTTGGCTTCTGCTCTTTAATTCCTAAGGATTTGTTGGTTGTGCGTACTGTTTTAACGCATGCTTTAAATAAGGCAGTTATATCCATTTTTTAAAGAGACACACTTACTATTTTCTTTTAAAAATTGTACAATATCGTATTATGATAATAAAATTGGACAAATCATCAGTAATATTTTTAACTTAACCTTATTTTTAAACGTCAATCAGCGAGGCAAGAGGCAACCGCCGAGTCAGCTGACAACTGTCAACTAATGGAAACGAAAATCTATGCTTCTGACAGTGGCGTGGAAACCGTAAATTTCCTAGAGAGTCTAGTATACCTAGGACTCTGAATTTCAGAATATTATGTTATGGTTAATTTTATTAAAAATTTTTCTGTATAAATAGATCGCGCAAAAATAGCCTATGATGATCAAATGTGGAATTCTGGGTATTGGTCAACATTCCAAAATATCTCCTTCTCCCAGTCATTTGGAAATAAGAGTGACTCGCCAAAAATGGTTCTTAAGTTGGCCATGACCGACAAAAACAGAGATATGAGTCATGTCCGTGATAACTACGCGCGGCTTTAAATTAAATAAAGAGTGACACTTACAAAGAAGAATTGTACTCTCCGGCATGCGAAATTTTTTCCAAGTCGCACTTTAGAAACTCACAAGTGCTGTCCTGTCAAAAAATAAAGTACATTTAAGAATAAACTAAATCCTTTTTCGCAAAAACTGTAGTTTTTTGGGAACAAAAGATAGAATTGAATACTTAAACTTAAAAAAAAACATGTTAAATGTTTAAATTGCATGGAGCTATTATTTTATTTTAAAAGAGACAACCTTGCGCCCTTCAATATAAAAAATCGTTAAAGGTAAACCGTAGACACGTGTTTCTGACTATTGGTCTTCATCAGTACGGTGCAGCCAAGTTCAAAAGAGAATGGAACTAGCGATGAAATAAAATCAATAGGAGATCACTCAAGAAGCCAACCACACATTTGTGGACTGTGCTAACATTCCAAGTGATTACTAGAAAAATATTAGCGTCGCCACGGAGGTAAGTTATAGCCGCTATGAAGATGCATCCAAGCCCAGGGAAACTAAACTAAAAAAAATGTTTAGAAGCGCCGCATTCAGGAGCACGTTTGTGCCAAAAGTGGATTATGATATTGGCGATATACTGGTTGTATGCATGATACAAAAAATTATAGAAGTATGATACTTATCCGACGAAATCTCGTCGAGTGCGCGCATGACGTAATGTGGTGTGGAATGCGGTTATCTGATTGGCCATGAGCTGATTATAATTTATTTTCGTGCGCTGTTTTCGATCAGCTGATACGTCAAATTCGTTAAAGCCACTCCTTCCATCACATTACGTCACCGTGATCTGTAGTATCAATTTGCGTAATATTATACCTTTTCTTATAGTATCATGGATTGCATATATATAAAATTATATAAAATATAAACCAGTAGCTAGCCCGTTTCAAAGTGAATAATATACAGAAAGGGTCTACCTAGATCCCCGGGCATTAAATCATACATATGGCAGTTATAATATGTAATGTAAATTGTAAACATATATATACACATATATATACCCTAGTAAATAGCCTGTTTCACAGTGCATACTGTGTAATGTTTAATACTTATCAGTGGAATATATTCATATCTAAAACAGAAGGAAATTTGTATTTCATAAAAGGTGTACCTTTGTAAATATTTTAGAATCATTTTATTCGTTTTATGCCGACCACCTTGTACATAACATCCTATAATTAGGCATTGTGTTGCTCTTGACGCTATAACAAAAAACCCGTGTTTGCAAATTTGCAATTTATAAAAAGCGTTTACCATTTGTTCAACATCCATGTGATGTGATATTCGGTGTCGTCTTTTTTCATCCAGCTTCTTTTTATAACTTTGTTTTCAAGTTTGTAATCCTCGAAGGATGTAGACTTCCCCGTTGTGAAAATGTTCTTCTTTGCATTTATATATTTTTGATATTTAATAATGATAAGCAAATTATTTACGTGTTATCACAAGTGCATGAAAAAGAAAGAATGACGTATGAGTGTATCTGACTACCACGGGACGGGAGCAGAGGTGGGAAGGTCTGAGAAAACCAGTTATTTTGGAACTTTCTATATAATTTTGAGGGTATTTAGACTTTAAAATATGTGGCGACAGAGCAGCGAAAGGAAGGTACTACCTATATGATCATTGAGATCAAGGCGTGGAATATAATTTTAATTCAATAACAGAAACTAACAGAATTGTTATCATATCAATAAAAAATTATTTTATTAGGTGTTGAAACTGACTTCCATTGGTTTCCATTAAAAGAAACAATGAGTTTTGTCTTAGTTTTGAATTTTTTCATAAAAGTCTCTCCTATAAAATTATTTAGGGTGGACAGTTTTCATTGAAATTCCTTGTAAAATTAACTAGCGCATTAGTGTTATTAACAACATTCATTTTATAACGTTAATCGACTCATTAGTTTTCCTAAAAACTTTAAAACGCTCTTTACCTAAATTATAGAATTCTAAGATTGACCCTTTTAGAATTAGTATATTTTAGTAATAATTATATGCCAGTGCTATTCTACGCCTATGCTTAAATTAAGTAGACATATCACGAATCGCGCAAAATCAAGAGGTAATTAAACCAATGTTGCCAATATTTTGAAATTATAAAAAAAGTGAGTGAAATATAGACCAAACTTTTATAGTAATTAAACAGTCATACCTTATAATGGTTAATGTTTTACTTTTACGTAGTAAAAAACTCTTTCTAAATTGATATATCTATGTATTTATATAAGAATACGTTCGAGATATGGCATAGAAAGTGGTGGACCGGATATCTTAACTTGGGCATTGGACAATTAAAAAACCCGGCAACAATGACGAGAATATTTTAGACATGCGTCATGCTAATCTTTTTGTCAAAAGTGTCAAAGTCAGAATACAATTAAAAAAAGTTAGATTTAGCTGGTGTACCAAGTCGCGTAGCTCACATTTTAATAATAATAGTCACCAGGTCACCACACCGCGGCGAAAGTTCCACATTTCAGGGTTAACTCAACGTTGTGCTGGCGCGATTAAATTACGTAAGGTCCTAAAAATCGAAAACGCCCGGGTGTTGTCAAATTTTCTATGATTTGGTGAATTAGAAACCTTTTTTGAATCCAAACCGGTGATAAATCGAACACTCCAAAATGATGAATTTGAAGCTAATATCGAAAATCGTCCCCTTAAAATCGCGAAGTTCAGAAGTCGGTACGTTACTGAAGAGTATACCAGCAGCATGCAGCCAGCTCCAGGGGCGGACTTACGCTGACCATGTTATCCCCGACAGGTTAAAGGATATGCCCACGAATGCCAACCCCAGGTTCTTCGACATGGTTGAATATTTCTTCCATAAAGCCTGCGTTCTAGTAGAAGATAAATTGGTCGAAGACCTGGGCAAAGTTAAGGGATCTAGACTTACTTTGGATCAAAGAAAAGCCAAAGTTAAGGGTATTTTAACTTTTATGGAACAGTGTGATCACATTATCGAAGTATCTTTTCCCATCAAGAGGGATAATGGCCAGTACGAGATTATTAAAGGGTACAGGGCCCAGCACAGCACTCATAGGACCCCCTGCAAAGGAGGTATGTTTACATTAATTTAATTTTAGACTATTATAGGTATAGCACAAATATTGAAGAATTTTTTTATTTAAATTTTATAACTACAAAGCTAGGGACATTTTATTCAATTCTATTATATTCTGTAAAATTTATTATATACTTGTAACAAGATATACTATTTTGGCACCTGAATGTGCTGTAAATCTACAGAATAAAGTTAAACTTGGCGCCCAAATACACCTTAAACAGCAATTTAATGTATTCTAATAGGAAATACAGTCATCATCAAGCAGACAATATAAATAATTTTTAGGTCCAATGTCTATTCCAGTTTTTAATATTTTGAATCGAGTCTGATTAAACTTGTTCAGTGTCCTTCTCTACTAGTTATGTAATAGGTAGTTTCTAGGAAACCACTTGGTTTTAGTTTGACTTTAGTTAGCAAATAAAATTATCGCAACTAGTGAAAATTGCACAAGTTGTTTTTATGAGATTAGTATCTAAATCTACACTGTGTTATTTACAGAACAAATTAAAGCTTTTCACTTTTCCATTTAAATAATTTACACACAGTGGATTACACAATACATATAACTGTAGACTTAAAATATTTCTGGAACATTTTTAAATGAGAAACATTTTGAAATTCAATGGTTTTTATTGTTATTTGAATATGAATTTTTGCATATTTCAATAATTTTGTTTAAAAAGTTACATACCTGGACACGAGTCTAGACATTACAGAATTTACTGATAAGCTCTCTTCTAAACCACAGTGGGTTTCTGCAAAGCAGTGTTACCACATGCCTGAAACTGAATTTATGTATTTGCATGCCCAAAATTACTGTATTTATTCAAAAAGTACCCTATGCTTTTAGCATCTCCCAGTTTAAAATATAAAGATAAAGAAAGCAATATAAATGGGGTCTGTTTTTATTTTGTAATAAAATTTAATTAAATATTAACGACAAGAAAAACAAAAATAAAAACAATAGTTACCTAAATTAAATAATCATATATCCTTAATCTATGAAAAACTCAGCATGAGGCATTGGTATTTTTTTTTCTTTCGGATATAAATATGAAGTATTCATATTCATTTATGTCCTGTCTTTATTTGGGGATTCACAGGTTATTAAATCAAAGATTGTCAATGGTCAGTTGTTCGAGAGAGATTGACATAATATGCAGCGACTGGCCAGACTGGTACAAATTAGCCCACACTAGATGTGAAACCATTGTTTAAATATAGGTTTAAGAAATAGATGTCTTTCCTTTGATTTTAAATATTAGATGGTAGCAGGTTACATTTATTTGAGAACAAATAAAATTGTTCATTTTTGATTTTTTTTCACAAATTTTACTGTATTTTCGGGTAGAAAATAATGGTCAGCATAAAAGCACAAAAAGCTTTAAAAATTATATCAAGGAAGAATATTTGCATTCTTAGTGCCAGTTATTATCTGTTTAATGTCTTTTTCTGGTTGCAAATATTTATTATTGTAGCTAAAGGTGATTTACAGAAAAGTACACTATTTGTGTGTAAAGTGGTTAAAGCAGGAATCATAGTAGGTACGACTTTATTTGAAGTAGCAGAACCGGACGACAGAAAATAATTTTTTTATTGGTATAGACGTCTAAAAGCATATATTTCAATGTCGGCAAAAAACAAAAAATCTGATAAGCAACTTTACTTTGAATTTGACAGGTGACGGCTCCCACCACCCGGACATAGTACCCTCCCTCCCCTGTACCAAACAATAGCAAACAAAAAACACAACATGCCACATTTTGCAGTCAGATGAGGAAGTACTTTTGGAAAATAAAGAAATGAATTCAAAATTCAGAATGTGCAAATAACAACATATAAAATTGCCTGTGAATGTTATTTTTAATATTTTAAGCTGCTCGTTTTCTATTGACAAATATACTTTCATATAGGTTTGATCAGTAAAAAGAAGCAATTATTTATAAAAATGTATCTAGACTGCCAATGAGATATTGTAACTGTAACATAATTAGATTATTCTCCTTGGTAACAGAACTCTGTGCTCCTATTGGTTAATAAAAAAGGAGTGTCGCTATAAACAGTATGTATCCTACTTATACTAGAATAACATTTACATTCATGATGTTTTTATCTGATTATTCAATTAGCATTCACTAATAATTATACATTTTCTAATATTTGCTTACATTAAGTGTGATGTTATGACAAGATTGCTGTTTTGCTATTTCCAACCCTAAATGCCTATATCTACATTATTTATAAAATAAAATTATTAGAGCTTTAAATGCTTAATTTGTTTTTTTTTTTCTTCTGTTTTTCAAATTTTCTCCAAATTTTTTTAACAAAGGTGCTAGGTGACTAACAAATTGTTCAGTTAATAAATTTTAGCAAATATTTCAGTGAATTTTATTCAGGAGTTTATGGTTGCTATAATTTTGATTACAAGTCACGAGTGTTCCCGAGTCTATGACATCATATTAATGATGACCTTGAAACGATAACAAGTTCATATACATCGCCAAAATTTTTAAAACCTCATAAATATTATATTTTTTTATCTGCATTAAATGCTAAAAATAATATATCTATAGGCAGTTTTTTTATCAAGGTAATACATATTTAAATAACAATGAAATTGATACAAGTAGCAGGTGGTAATAGCACTGTAGATTTTGATTGGCTGTCTGAAAAGGAGTGTCGCTAATATCTAATAACAATACTAGATTATGTATGGATTAGGTAGAAATGTTTAGAAACATGTTTTTCATTGTATTTTCTAGGAAATGAAGTAACATTCGTATTGGATGGAAAAAAAAGAGGAAAACATTTTTATTTTCAACTTTTAGAGTTTTAGCTTGTTTCAAAAATAATAATAATTGAATAGCTCTACTACTATATGTAAGGAATATGAGGATGTCGAGTATGTCGACGACAGCGATGCTATTCAGTGGGGTAGAATGCTTGTCAATAGGCTTGAGATGCACTCTATGGGCGCAGCCACATTATTTTTCATCTTACTCGGGAATAGGGTTACCATATTCAAAAATACAATTTTCTGTAATACTCAATGAAAATTTCGGACATTTCTTTAAAAATCCATAATAAACCTCCACATAATAAAACTCCAACTTATGGAATCAAACGTTTTATTAAAAGACGTTACTTTTAACGGCCAAAATAACTATTTATACGTGATTTTAAGTATACCTTGTTACGTTAGATGATTTTCCTAAAAAATCCGGACAATTTCTAATTCCCCGCGCATGTCGGATAAGACGCTAAAATTCAGGATAAGACGGTAAAATTCCGGACATGTCCGGATTTTTCCTGGCATCTGGCAACCTTACTTGGGATAATTTATAATAGCCATTTTCTATTTCCCATTGTTATTATCTGGTCCACCAGATTGTGGACTGAACAATAACAATGTGAAACAGAAAATGGTTATTATAAATACTCCCGAGTGAGATGAACAATAAAAATGGCTGCGCCCATAGAGTCGCATCTACTATTGATACAACATGCACATTGGCATTCTAAGGGCATTCTACTCCAGTTCATTGATGCTGTTTAATACGACACCCCAACGCTCGGACTATTTCGCATCACGATTTGCGTTCGGATTAGCGTAATTCGAATTAGCGTGGGTTCGGATTATCGAGGTTGCACTGTAGTTGTTGAAATTTTGTGGAATTATGATTTGGGATAATATAATACTTGTTTAATAATTATTTCTAGTCCATAAATATATGCGATTGTACGGTTCCGCCGGTAACAATTTATAATTACTTATTCTATGAAACGAGACTGGCAGATAAACACCGCGAAATTCTCGAAGTCGTCCAACATTGTTTGGCGTTTACCCCCTCTCTACCTACCAAAAGCCTTTCCAACTTCTGGCCCTGCTATAGATCAACCTGGAAATCAGTAGATCTACTGAAAAATCATTAAAATCAGTAGAACTGGCAAACCTGTTATATCCTAAGTATATTCCTCATAAACAAGAGCAAAGTTATCTAATGGGTTCCGTTGAAATTCCTAAGAAATCTAAGTGTGTTGGGTGTCACATTATAGAGTGTAGTCCATTGTAATTTCTTACATAAAAATATAAATATTAGGCTTATATTAATTGAGGTTACATCAAAACTACGCCTATTGTATTAATATTAAAAGGCAAGGTACTTTAGAAACAATTTTTTGTGGGCCAATTTATATACACACTATTCCAAAATTCGAAATACATATTTTAGCAGCTTCTTGAAATATATACGTAGGTTGGCTACATATGGAAAACATCCATACTCAGAAGGGAACCTCTCAAATGTGGCCATCTTCGATGAGATAAATAAAATTCAAAATCTATCCCACATATAATATTTAAAAAACGGCGATCGGTTTCGGCTATAAAGCTACTTTTAAGCCTATAAAAATAAATATGGTCTAATCGAAAAAGTATGCCATTGCGATCAACTGAACGAATTTATTCTACCTACACACAAATATGAAATCGACCAATCACAGTTCATATTTTGGTCATCCGGCTACTATTTATTTTAAAATTTGAAATATATGTTACAGTTTTGTCAAACTAATTGTCAGAATATTTTTTAGTTATTGAGATTGAATATACATTAAAATGAGTTATTCTTGTGTGGAATCGATAAATAATTGCATTTATATTTTTATTTCGTCTATATTTACAAATAAATCATAAATTTTAATAAATCTATTGAAATCAATTTAATTACAAGTATTAAAACGAATAGTATTGGAGACAAATTAAATTAAATCTTTTTTTGAGTTTATTTTATTTTATAAATTAGTAAAAGACCTAAAATAATTCATTGGATCAATAGTGATACTTACCTCATCGTTATAGAAGAACTTTTGTAGAAAATATCGTCAGAAAACCTTAGGCATAAGGCATTTTTGGCTATATAATATGTTTCACCTGTATAATACCCTGTTAAAATATTTACCTCTAATTTTGGAACACTCTGTAACAAAATAT